ATGTTGTTGGTCCAAATAAATCCATGTGTAGGAGTTCTAGCACTCTTGTGGTTGACATGAAAGCTTTGGTTGGATGAGTGTTTGCAACTTGCTTGCCGGCTTGACATGCACTACAAAGCTTGTCCTTTTCAAACTTCACATCCTTCAACCCTCTCACCAAATCATTCTTCATAAGCTTCTTGAGTGAGCTCATTCCAACATGAGCAAGTCTTCTATGCCATAGCCACCCAAGTGTTGTTTTGGTGAATAGGCAAGTCTTCAAGTTTGCATCTTCGGAGGTGAAGTCAACTAGATATAAGTTGTTGTATCTAAATCCATTGAATATCACTTGATTGTCATCTAACTTGGATACAACAACCTCCTTCTCGGTGAATAGGCATTGAAAGCCAAGATCACACAATTGCCCAACGGATAGCAAGTTGAAGCTCAATGAAGCAACATAGAGCACATTGGAGATGGAATGATCATTTGATATTGCCACTTTGCCCAATCCTTTAACCTTGCCCTTTGAATTATCTCCAAATGTTATTTTCTTGTCCATCTACCTCTTCATCTAGTGAGGTGAACATACGAGGATCACCGGTCATATGTTGAGTACAACCACTATCAATAACCCAATGACTTTCACCGGTCTTGTAGTTCACCTACACACAAGAGATTCAAGCTTTAGGGATCCAAGCTTGTTGAGGGCCCTTCACCTTCTCAACAAGTGACTTAGCCACCCAAATCTTCTTAGGCCTACTCTTGTTGGGGGGTCCTAAGAACATGACTTTCATCTTTCCACTAGAATCTTTTCTAAGCATGTAGTGAGCATTGAAAGCAAAGGGTCTAGCATGCTTGGGCAAGGGTTGTGGTGGTGGAGTTTGACACTCATGAGCAGAGTGACCTTCTTGTCCACACTCAAAACATCTCTTTGGCTTTAGCTTTGGCTTTGATTGTTGGTGTTGAGCTTGAGCCTTCTTCTTCTCTACACTTGCCATATATCCAATGCCACTTCTATCCATCTTCATGACGGTATTCATGAGTAGCTCACTTTGGAGATGCTTGCCTCTAGCAAACTTGCTCAATCCCTCCTTGAGATGCTCTTTCTCCATTTTGAGCTTCTTGTTCTCTTCCTTGAGAATATCATTGTTCTTCTCTTCCTTGAGTTTCTTATTTTCCTTTTTTAGCTTCTCATTCTCAAGGATCAAATCTTCGTCATGATCAAGAGTTTCTATCACAATGGTGTTGTGACTTTTCATCTCTTCAAGATCTTTCATGAGCTTCTCATTGTTACTCTTGAGCTTGACATACTCATCATAGTCATTGCACTCAACCACTTGCTTGCCCTTGCTACTAGATCCATGCTCAATGCTTTCATCAATTAAGTCATCACATGAGGTAGCTATATCAATCTTAACAACATGGTTAGTAGCATCATGTGGCTCATTTGGTAAGAATTCTTGTGCAATAATAAGGGTATCATAATTGATCTTTAGAGTTGCATATTCATCTTTTAGCTTATTGTGACTAGTGATAAGCTCATTGTGCACCCACTCAAGTTTATCATTTTTATCTTTAAGCTCTTTCTTAGAAGATTTGAGCTCCTTGAGTTTGGATGATATAGAATCATTTGTTTCTTTGAGCTCATCATTAGCCTTTTCTAATGTATCACACTTAGCTAAGAGTGAATCATTTTTAGCATCAAGTTTTTCATTTGTAGCTCTACTCTTTCTAATGATCTTAGTATATTTTCTTAGTATTTTGACAAGATCATCATAAGTAGGTGAGTCATCATCATCGCTATCACTATCATCATCACTAGCATGTTCATCATCACTACTATCATCACTCTTAGTTACCTTATGTTCGCTTTTGGCCATAAGGCATAGGTGTGTAGATGATGATGGCGATGGTGGTGGTGAAGATGCAAGATCAATAGCAATGGCGGCCACTTTTCATCGTCACTATCATCATAGGATGATCCACTTGATGAATCAATGTCCGTGAGCCAATCACCGACAATATAGGCCTTGCCACTCTTCTTCTTCTTGTAGAACTCCCTCTTTTGCCATCTCTCTTCTTGTATGGCTTGTTCTTCTTCTTTTCATCTTCATCACTTGAATCATCTTTCTTGCCCTTGTTCTTGAACTTGTCTTTCTTAGCCTTTGTGCATTGATGAGCTAGATGACCAAGTTCGCCACAATTGTAGCAATCCATCTCGGAGATTGGCTTTCTTCTTGAGCTAGTGAAGAACTTCTTCTTCTTGCCGTCGAACTTGATGCCACTCTTGTTTAGCCTTTTAGCATCTTGGTGGTCTTCTTCACCATGAGGGCAAGGCTTTCTTCATCATCTTCATCACTTGAGCTCTCATACTCAAGTCTTGTTTTGCCCTTGTCTTGGCTAGCTTTGAATGCTAAGTCCTTCTCTTTCTTCTTTGTAGAGGATGAGCCATCTTGTGGTGTGATGTGCATGTACATCTCATGAGCATTGATCTTTCCCAAGATTTGTGTTGGTGTAGCAAGTGAAAGATCACCTTGATGTAGCACGGTCACAATGTGCCCATATTTGTCAATGGGGAGGACACTCAAGATTTTTCTCACAACGCTTCGGATGGTGACATTTGAGTGAGTCCAAGCCCATTGACTTCCTCTACAAGAACATTTAATCGAGAATACATCTCATTAGCACTTTCTTTGGGAAACATCTCAAAAGAATTTAGCTTTTTAATCACAAGATGATAGCGTTCCTCACGCCACTCTTGGTTCCCTCATGGAGCGCATAAACGTCCGACCATAGTGCATGGGCGTCTTTGTGGTTCCTTACACGATTGAACACATCTTTGCAAAGGCCTCTAAAGATGGTGTTGCGAGCCTTTGCATTCCATTTTTCATAATTCACTTCATCGCCTTTGAAGTTGTGCGGCATTCCTAGGTGCTTTGGGAACCCTTGAGAGGCGGCTCTAAGAATTCCAACATCTAGAGCTTCTAATTAAGCCTCCATGCGAATTTTCCAATATGGAAAATCATCTCCCTCAAAGATAGGAGGAGGTCCATCCCGTGAGACATCTTGCTCTAAGCGATTGCTTAAAAACGTGAGCACGAGGCTCGATACCAATTGAAAGGATCAAGATGCCCAAGAGAGGGGGTGAATTGGGCTAATTCTAAATTTTCTTGTAATAATCAAATCCTACGGATAGCCCAATTAACCCCTTGTGCCTAAAATGTGTTTATATTAAACTAATGCACAACAACCTCGCAACCAACGCTCCAAACTTACTCTAGCAAGCAATTCTATGGATGTAAGACAAGTATTGAAATGCTCAAAGTAAATACTCAAAGTAAGTGCTCAACGTAAATAGAGAGAGAAAGGAACGCGGCGATGTTTTGCCGAGGTATCGGAGAGTCGCCACTCCCCACTAGTCCTCGTTGGAGCACACAGCAAGGGTGTAGCTCCCCTTGATCCGCAAGCAAGGATCAAGTGTTCTCACGGGTTGATTCTTCGACACTCCGTCGCGCGCGAATCACCCAAAACCGCCACAACTTGAGTTGGGTCACCCACAAGCTCCGCCGGTGAACACCAAACTCCCAATCACCACCAAGCCGTCTAGGTGATGGCGATCACCAAGAGTAACAAGCACGAAACTCTCACTTGACCACGCCAAGCCTAATGAGAAGATGGATGCACACTTTGCTACTCTTGATTTGCTAGTGAGGCTACTCTCTTGGATTCTCAAATCACAAACACCTCACTAGGACCCTACTCTTCTTGGCACTCACAAACGTGTTTCTCATTGTTGAATGAGCAAAGATACTCCACTCACGAGTGGACCTTCTATTTAAAAGCCACCTGAAAAACGAACCGTTATGAGCTTTCATCGGGACGACCGGACGCTCGATCGTGATGACCGGACGCTCCGGCCGGGTTCAACCTGTGAACCAAGATAAAGAGTCAATTTGGTGGTCCGGTGAACCAAGATCCGGTCGCATAAAAGTCGAACCTTCATCGACTCGACCGGACGCCGAACCTCGGGTCCGGTTCAAGACCGATCGGACGCGTCCGGTCACTCTTTCCCAAGTCTCGACCTCATCGAGTCGACGGACGCCGAACCTCGTGGTCCGGTTAAGACCGACCGGACGCGTCCGGCCACTCTTTCCCAAGTCTCGACCCTTATCGGAGTCGACCGGACGCCGGGTCCTCGCTCGTCGGCCACATGACCTTCCAAAGTCTCGGCCACATCAGACTTGATCACCTCAGCCAAATGAACTGACCGGACCTGCGGCCATTCCGGGTCTGGCCGCACCGAGCGCTGTCCGGCCCGTTGTTTGACCCTCCATTCACTTTCAACTTCCGAATATATGTGAATGAATTTTGCTCCAAAAGATCTTAGGCATTCATAGGAGCTACCTAGAGCTAGTTTAAACAAGTGTGCACCACACCTAACTCATTAGACTTAACTAGGTCAAGCTACCCGTTCATACCCCCCTTCATAGTACGGCCAAAGGAAAAAACAAAGTCCTAAACTACTCTAAGTGTCTCTCCAACTTCAATTGACACTTAGAACTAGTTATCCTTAACCTTGTCGTCCATCCTTTGAAAACCGAAACGATTTCCATCGTAGGGGCATGACAACCTCAATTGCCCAATCGATCTCCATTACCATGACCTAACTTAATTGTCTCTGTAAAACACACGTTAGTCATAGTAATCTTGTATTGACATCAATCACCGAAATCCAACTAGGGCCCTAGATGCTTTCAGGTTGTTTTGCCAGGCCATCAACTCATTTCCGGTCGCTAAGTCCAACTACAGCTGCATCTCTTCTGCTAGCTAGATAAGTTCGACAAAGTCATGAGCTGCAAAGAAATATTCCAACACGTCACCCCAGCGGCAGACTTGTTTATATTTGACTGACAACAGGGCTTTAAAATTCAGTTGAGCAACTGCAATGAGCCAAGAAGTACAACTAGTCAAGCCATGCTCATCCCACCAGCTCTGAAGGTCATACCACCCCTGCAGCCATGGCCGCTGATCTCCTCGCAGCTCTTGCCCTCGCCCTCACCCTCTTGACCCTGAGTGCCGCCGCCGCTGTCGCCGCAGCACATGACACTCTACCACGGAAATCCTCGCTGTTCGTCGAGGAGTACGAGACCCAAATCCTGCGGTCATCACTGGACGGCACCTTCTCCTGCGGCTTCTACGAAATCTACGACGGCGCCTTCACCTTCTCCATATGGTACATCAATTCAGCCGACGACAAGGCGACCACCGTCTGGAGCGCCAACCGTGGCAGCCCGGTGCACTCCTGGGGCGCGGCCGTCACCCTGCGCAAGGACGGGAGCATGGTCCTCACGGACTACGACGGCACGGTGGTGTGGCAGACCCAAGGCAGTTTCCCAGATGTTCAGTATGCTCAGCTGCTGGACACCGGCAACCTTGTCCTCAAGAACTCCAGCGGCGACATTGTGTGGCAGAGCTTCGACTCGCCGACCGACACCTTCCTCCCCACGCAGCGCATCGCTGAGACATCCAAGTTAGTCTCTACCACCCAACTCCAGGTTCCTGGTCACTACACCTTCCGTTTCAGCGACCAGTCCATGTTGTCGCTCATCTACGATGACACCAACGTCACCAGCGTGTACTGGCCAGATCCTGACTTCCAGTACTACGAGAACAGTAGGAACTTGGACAACAGCACTAGAATAGCGAGCCTTGGTGATTCTGGGGAGATTTTCTCGAGCGACTTTGCGAATAGCCATGTACTCGCTGCCTCTGATAGAGGCACTGGGATTCTGAGAAGGCTTAAACTGGATCACGATGGGAATCTTAGGCTGTACAGCCTGAATAACTCGGACAGGACATGGTCGGTTTCATGGATTGCTGAGTCCCAGCCATGCAAAACTCATGGTTTCTGTGGTCCGTACGGGATATGCCACTACTCGCCTGTACCGGTGTGTTCTTGCCCGCCTGGCTATCAGATGAAGAACCCAGGTAACTGGACACAAGGTTGCCTGCCTGTTGTAGACATATCCTGCGATGGGGAGCAAAATGTGACCTTTCTGGAACTACGAAACACTGATTATTGGGGATCTGATCAACAACGCATTGAAAAGGTGCCATGGGAAACCTGCTGGAATGTGTGCTTAAGCGACTGCTCCTGCAAGGGGTTTCAGTACCAAGAGGGAAATGGTACATGCTATCCAAAGTCTCTCCTCTTCAATGGAAGGTCTTTCCCAACGCCCACTGTGCGCACGATGTACATCAAACTCCCATCAAGTTTGGACACATCAAAGCTCCCCATTCCACAGTCCAACGTCCTTGATTCTGTACCACATCAGCTTAGATGTGATCCTGTAATAAGCACAACAATCATGGAAAAAAATCTCAGTTACTTTCATAGGCCTAATCAGGAGGGACCAAAATGGATCTACTACTACGGGTTTATCGGTGCCTTCTTCGTTATTGAGGTTTTCTTCTTTGCATTTGCATGGTTCTTTGTTTTGAGGAGGGAGTTGACGTCATCACAAGTATGGGCAGCTGAGGAAGGCTACAAGATGATGACGAATCATTTCCGAATGTATAGTTACAGGGAGCTGGTTAAGGCAACTGAAAAGTTTGCACATGAGCTTGGATGGGGAGGCACAGGGGTTGCCTACAAGGGTATTCTGGACGACGATCGAGTGGTTGTCGTAAAAAAGCTGGGAAATATAAGGCACAGCAGAGAAGAATTCCATGATGAGTTGCATGTCATTGCAAGGATCAACCATATGAACCTAGTAAGAATATATGGATTTTGCTCAGAAAGATCCCATAGGATGTTGGTCCTCGAGTATGCTGAGAAAGGATCCTTGGCTGACGTGTTATTCAAAAGCAAAACCTCTTTAGATTGGAAGCAGAGATTCAACATTGCCTTAGGTGTAGCAAAGGGTCTGGCCTATCTTCACCATGAGTGCCTAGAGTGGATCATTCACTGCAACCTGAAGCCTGAAAACATTTTACTGGATCAGGACCTGGAACCTAAGATCACCGACTTCGGGTTGGCAAAGCTGCTAAGTAGATCTGGGCCTACTCAAAATGTAACACGAGCACGAGGAACTGTAGGTTACATTGCTCCAGAGTGGATATCTGGCTTACCTATTACAGCAAAGGCTGATGTGTACAGTTATGGAGTGGTGCTTCTTGAATTAGTGTCAGGAACACGGGTTTTCGACTTGGTCAAAGGTGAGGATGAGAGGGTGCATGTGATGCTGAAGAAGTTCATCAAGATGCTTTCTTACAAATTGGACAAGGATGAACCTTTCTGGATAGCAGAGTTTGTAGATTTCAGATTGGGTGGTGAATTCGACTACTCACAAGTGAAGGGACTGATCAAGTTGGCTATCTCATGCTTGGAGGAAGAGAGGAAAAAGCGACCGACCATGGAATCAGTAGTCGAGAGCCTCCTTTCAGTTAATTTAGCTGGAATTCAATAAAAGAGCAACATGGTGGGGGGAAAAGTATGGAAGGTTTTTTTTTTCTTGATTCAAAACAGCTGTGGTACCTGTACCTTATTGTAAGCACCACACTAATTTTTGCAGTCTTAAATTCCCAGGATAATGTACATATAAGTGCGTGTTTTACTTATACCTCATTGCTCTGAACTGTGTAGTGATGGAATGGAACAGCAGTAATGTCATTCTAGTGGCTTTTCTGTATACATATTACAAATTTTCTTGATACTGACAATGGTAGAAAACCACATTTGGGGATGCTAGATATGTCAGGACTAAAGAGAGGTTTCACAAATCGAAGTAACAATATGAAATAGCAGAACACGTGAGGCATAAGCTTGAATGGAAAGACACTGCACCAGCAGCACTGCCTACCTGCATCGACACTTGAAGTCGGCGAATGTTTCTTAAGGATGCTTCTCCTCCTGCTTGATTGTCGGTTTTTATCTGAAACCAGAAGCAGAGGGAAACCAGAAGCAGAGGTTGCTGTTCGAAAAAAACCCATGATATTGACACACTGGGCTGAGCACATATCTATGTCAAAATGTTAATTGGCCGATGATGTTGACCGAACATTATGTACAAGAAAGCAGTGGCAAAAATGGCCAATGCTGGATCAGACAGTCGAATGGAGAACTTTGTGAATAGAAGGAAACCTGAATAGATCCATTCCAATTCCTGGGTATACATGCTCGTCTGCGGAGAAAATTATCAAAGAAGATTGGTTAGCACATGCATAACAAACCTGAAAGAAAAAAACAAAACTTGCAATAGGATCGTGACGTTACCTTTGGATTGTGAAACTGAGCAAGACAGTCAGACAGCAAGACAGTCAGACAGAACGGGCATGGCGTACGGGTGCTCACTGCTCAGTGATATGTGACGAGGACGAGTGTCCAGTAGGGGCGAAAGGTGCCAACAATCAGCTGGCCTGATATCACCGGGCTTATTTAGTGTGTGTTTTATTTCATGCGACTGCTAAAGATTTTGTGCTGCAAAACAGGGTAGGCAGTCGATGTGTCTTGGCCATTTGATAGTATCCCTTCCAGCTTTTGAGGAAACGGAGCTCATACGACAATTGGGCAAGCAATGTCGCAAGCAAAGCACGTTCAACTCGCATCACAGATTAGCAGTGTGCGAGGCTGTGCCACCAAAGCCACGAGCTACCCACATGAAAGGAGGCCATAAATCGGCAGGTAAATTGGTGATAACAGATCAGAGCAGAACGGAAAACGACACATCGAGTGCCCAATTCTCAAAAGGACAACTGATGGTTTTAATTAAATTCCAGATAGGCAACAAGACAAAAAAAACACTTTGGTACCAATTGATGGATCTCCTTGATCATACACAGTAGTGAGAATTAAGTTCACAACTAAGACTAGCGATACAAGAGATGCATTTGTCGCCACAAACTCAACCACCACCATCTTACTCCTCTGCATCAGCCTCACCACTCTTCTTGTTGCCCTTCCTTGAGTACCTCAAGTTCCTCAGAAACTTCGGGTCCATCTAAAAGCACACAAAGGTGATCATTAATAGACATAAAAATGGCCAGGATAAATTCCAGTCCAAAAAACGCATATTAAGCAAATAGGCACAGCAAAGGGGGAAGTAAAAATAAAATTTCTGCAGGAGTACAATATTTATTATGTCAGAAAATGCAACTAGAAATAGACGGTATCAAACTATCTAAACCTTCCACGAAAAAGCAATTATAGTGTTTCAGCAGGTAAAGAATAAGTGAAAATTCATAATGAACAAAAAATTGAGATCAGAAGATGAAACACCACTGAAACTGGATATCATCGTGCTTACTAATTTGCTGCGCAAACAATTTTTTGGGTCAAACCAATTACATAGCATGAGTTAATGTGTCAAATAACACTCATTCTCTAGGCAATCATCAGCATAACTGCAGCATAAGAATTCAGACAAACATCAACTAACGTAGCTACACAACTACATACAAGGCAAAAACTATGATGATACCAGAAGGTCTGCAACAAGATATGAAGAGATTCATGCCATGGTAATATTTTAACAATAAACCACCAACAGAATAAAATAACTGGCATAACAAATTCAGTACAATATAAATCATAACTTACACTGCTGTAAGTAATTTACTTACATGATGCAGTTACAAAATTTAATTTGGGACAATTAATAAGAGTATAAAGGACAGCCGTGCAGCATTTCGTCAAAAACAACACGGCAGTAAGCAAGGCAATTTCGGAGCAACAAAGGCCAAATACTAGCATAGAAATTTAGGATAAATGGGCAGCATCTAGTATTGATAGCATCAAGGCATGCTACAAAAACTACTGCATTTGCACTCAGGCATAGGCCCACATAATGAATATGATCACGTTTCAGCGAAAGGCTAGTTTTCAAATTCAGATCTAGCATAGTTCAGAAGCGAGCAAGGAAAAGGAAGCACGTACCCCCTTGGTGGAGGTCTGGCGGTGGCGCTTGGGCTTCTTGATGCCGTTCTTGTGCGCCTTGTACGACTGGTTATGCGCCGTGTGATTCTTCGACTTGGCCATCCCGAATCCCTCTTGCTCCTGCTCCTAGTCAACTGCGGTTCCACCGAGAAATCGGGAGATGAGCAATCGAATCAGGAGAAGGAGCTCAGGAGGAAGACGAGGGGCAACAATTCTCTCTTCATTCTTACCGGCGTTGGGGCGACGGGGCAGGTCAGCGGCGGCGTGAGGAGAGTTAGGGTTTCGGGAGCGACGACGCTTCGAGGCTGGCTTTATATAGACGAGGGGGCACTCTCTCAAGCTCATTTTTGTACTAGGCTCGGAATCAGCCCACTAGAGGCCCATTAAAGTGGCGTTCTAAGCCCCCTCCACGTGTAGGACGTGGGCTGCAGGTGAGTGATTTTTTATATGGCTCCGAATATCTCGGATAACGGCGCCCAAAATACAAGATCTATTCGATATTTGTATAGCGCCACAAGCACAGACAAAGAGATCAATACTCATTTTTTGTTTTCTCCATCAACAGGATCTAAAAGAGATCCCCTTTTGCAAAATGAGTTTTCGGGGAGAGAGATGCTTATATTTGAGTTGTGTCTCTCCTGCTACCTAAAATAGGTCTATGAAAGCCCTTGTTTAGTTTTGGCTAATTGATGAAACCTAGATACTAATCTTTGTCATGAGTGCCATGTGAGCAAGGTTGGTACATACCAAGTGATGGAGCATGGTGATGAAGTCCATGGAGATGGAGATGGACATGTGTTGATGATGATCAAGCTCCAACTTGAAAAGAAGAAAGAGAAAAACAAAAACAAGGTTGATCAAGGCAAATGTATCAAATTATTTTTTTGTTTTGGCACTCAAGACACCATAGAGGGTGTGAGTGTGCTTATGATAGATAGCCGTACTATAAAGAGTAGAAATCTTTGGCTAAGCGGTTATCGAGTGCCACTAGGTGACATGATTCTTGCATATGTATTAGGGACCTAGTGTGCTAACAATTAACCCTTGAAATGCTTTGTGAAAATGCTAACACACATGCACATTGGTGATACACTTGGTGGTTAGCACATGGAAGCAAGGGTGGTGAAGTTTGAGTTGAAAAGGAGGATTTCAGGCGTGACCGGACGTTGCAACTTGGATCGGACACTAGTGCAAAATGCATCCGATGCTAATGAAACATTGACTGGCGCACCTATGCAACTGTTCACAGACTGGCAACACACACGGTTGATTGACCTGACGCTGGGTGAGTCCGGTCAGTAGTGACCGGACGCGCCCAGTCGCCAAAATACCTCTCTGAATCGCACCGGACGCTGATGCAACAATGACCGGACGCTACTGCAATGAGAGGACCGTTGGGCGCCAACGGTCAACGCTACTGCAACTTTGATCGGACGCCACTGCAACTTGCATCGCAGGCTATTGCAACAATGCATCTGACGCATCCGCTCATCCCGACCAGCGAGTCCGGTCGTTGCGCAGGGAGCTCCCTCTTGTACCTAATGGCTCTATTTCGTTTGGGGTCTTTAAATAGACCATGGCCGGCCTTGGACTCTCTCTCTTGGCACTTTGACATACTTGACTTTCTTATGAGCCTAAGAAAACACTTCCCACTCATCTCCATCATTGATTTATCATCATAGTGAGGTTGGGAGTGATTCCAAATGCATTTGCTTGAGTGATTGCATCTAGTGGCACTTGGGGATCGTTGTGGCTATGGATTTCTTGTTTCTCTTGGTGGTTGCCACCACCTAGACGACTTGGAGCAATGGAGGAGCTTCGGCACGTGTTGGTGATTGTTCGTGGCCGATTCCGGTGATTGTGAGGGGTCTTGTATTTTTCCCGGCGGAGAGCCGAAAGGTAACTCTAGTGGATTGCTCGTGTCATTGAGTTACCTTACTTGTGGGTAGGTTCTTGCGGTGTCCATTTGTTGGACGAGGTTCGTGCAACACCTCTTAGCCGCTGAACCACCAAGTGTTGGTCGACACAACGGGAACTAGCGTGCCGGCAAGCACATGATCATCGGGAGAAAATTATTGTGTCTCGTGTGATTGGAATTCTCCCGGTGATTGGATTGACTTCATATTGTGATTGGTTCATTCCTCGACACTGCGGTATAACCATCCTACTCACTCCTTTATATTTCTTACAAACTAGTTGCCAAGCTCTTTAGTGTAGTTAGTCTTTAAAAGCTTGTTAGTTTGGTTAGTGTGGCTCTTTAGTTAGTCTTTGAGAGCACACTAGCTTAGTGAGTAGTGACTTAGCTTTTGTGTGTGTGCCTAGTGATCAAAGCAACTAGAATTGTTGATAGATGGCTTGCAACCCTTGTAGAGCTAGAGCAAAATTGCATTACGCCGTTTGTTATGCTAATCAATTGCTCTAGTGCCTTGTAGAATTTTTATAGGCTATTCACCCCCTCTAGCCATTTAGGACCTTTCAGTCTCCTGTATATGTACTCTGTTGGAGGCCAAAATAGTACCATCGAAGATTTATTTTGGGTTTGGGAGCCCATATGGGTACCCTGTTTGAGATAGTCTTAGGGCACCGCAACGGGAGCCATTAGGTTCTCTCTAAGGAAACACGTAAAAAAAGAAAGTGGTATAGAAAAAAAATATCGTTACTTTTGGCTACATGGTTCCTCACAAGGGAAGTGAGGTGACTTGTGTATGTGATGCAAGTGCTCAGCTAGCGAAGAGTTAATTAAGATCAATATGTGAGGAGGAATATATTGAATATGGAACATGACATAGTCTCATATGGCAAGATAGTAAAGATCGAGACAAGACTTTGCTACGAAGGATCATGTGCAAGTGTGAAGGGCAAGCTAGATGCTCAGGACATGATGGATCATCGTGACGGTGAAGTGCGATTAGAGAGCTTGGCGCCGATGGACCAATACACCGGAGAAGAGCAAGTAAGGCTATGGACTATGAAGGGCATCTAAAGCTATGTAAAGATACCAAGTGGCTTGACAGAGTGAAGATGGAGGAGCTTCATGCTATGAATAATAGTCAAGGTGGCGTGGTTGGCCACACTTGGAGATGACCATTGTTCATCGTATTGAAGACAAGCATCACCAAAATGGAGATGAAATAGAATATTCAAGACAAGCATCACCAAAATGGAGATGAAATAGAATATACAAGACAAAGGTATGACTTATAGAGCATTTCATTTCACTGGCCATTGATGTGTACATGACCGAGTTTAGGATAGATAAAACCTTTGAAAAAATGGTTTGAAAATGCTAACTAAGGCTTAAAGGTATTGATCATCCTGTGGAAGATCACTTAGAGTTGGCTTGCTTTGAAAAAGGTTTTTCCTGTGCACCTAACTGTGTGGTGGTTTTTTAATTGGAATTCTATGTTGATCCATTATGTTTTGGATAAATTACTCAACTGGGATGTGTCGCCTTTGAATAAACTTTCTCCTAAAGTCTAAGATCATGGTTGTGGTCATTTTAGAGATCAGGTTGAAAAGGACCCTGCTGTCTGACCGCCTACCCTGTCCAAAATTTGACCATTTGAAGTAGCCATTGAAGGCTTGTGGTCTGACCGCCGACACCGAGGCTCACGGTATCTGACTGCAAGAGCTGCGGCTTCCATGGCCTCGCCACCCACGCGGGGGAGCACACAGCGTAGCCGGACGGGAGGAACATCCGCAAAACACTTTTTTTTTTTCCTCTAATAACGGAAGATATTGTAATGACTCTAATCCAAATAACCCAAAAATAGAACAAATAGCATGCCATATATGGAAAGGTGAACACATCTGTGGTACAAGTTTGAATTATTGTACCACTAAATCCATGATTAACTCATTAAGGTCACTATGGTATTGATCCATAAACAGCTGCCTCCGATGCCAAATGATGTGAATGCCAGCGGTACAAAACATGCTTTAATACAAACAAGATCCAGGGCTATCTGCTACAGGCAGCTAGCTCTCTTCATTACATTACAATAGCCCTACATGTTGGTTCACAAAATATTGTTATAGGCTTAAACACCTGTGAAGAAATCACAGGCCAGAAGTTCAAGCTGACCAATCTCCAGTCTAAAAATAAAAAAGACGTGCAACGCCCCATGTTTCTGCTGTATTTTTCTCCTACAGCAAAAAAGGTTGGCCGTTTCAATCTTCATTCTGTTGAATTTTCTCAAAACTCATTCTGTTGAATTTTCGTGGAGCAAAACATACTCCCGGCTGCAGAGAAAAGACAGTGACAGGTACATCAGCAAGAAGATTATTAGAAATGCTATGGAAATAGAAAATCACATCTAGTACAGGTAAAACATCCAGCAGTGATTAGTAGTAATTAACCATGAACATAATGTCTGCCATACTGCATAACACATTTATCTCTCATCTCACAAAAGTTACAGACACTCAAAATATGCACAACTTCATATTACATTTTTAACAAAATATGTCGCTCCACCAAGTTCATAATACATTTATTTTTCATCTCCATTGTGCACCTAATTATATGAATGCAGTTCTAATCAATAAATAAGCCTCCAAAGTTTCTTTCAAAATCCACTCCTCCCCAGCATACTTTTTTCCACCACGGTCGAAACCTTATTTCATTACCATAAAGCAACAAAATTACAAGAGTTTGACAAAATGTAGAGCATATAGTAATAAAAATTGCTAACCCCTTTTGACACCCAGGGTCCAACCGGAGAGGCCTCCAAAAACCACTTAAACGTCAAGCGACAAAACCAGACCGCAAGCAAACTCTCCAGCAAAAATGAAAGGGACCATGGTCATTTTCTCTTACTACAAAATTTGCGAACCACAAGCTAAAAAACTAAATTTATATGAAACTTTCATGAGAAGTGTCAGAAGTATAAGGGACTGTTCAGATAAGAGAAACGATTCCATTTCTCATGAGAATTGGAAGAATCAGCTCCAAACAGTTTCCAGCCAGCAATTTGGAATCAGAACTATTCAGCGTTCCAACGTTAATACAACCCATCGATTCTCCAGCGATGCGCTTCCTACTTCTTGATTTTTTTTCAGTTAATCCTTTTTTAGTGCAACAAGTTCAAAAGGGTTGTATTTAAGTTGTTCTTCCCCACAAAAGGTTCAAATTTTTTAAGCATATTTTTATTTATATGATTTTTAAGAAAAATAATATATTTTCTTATGAACCGGAATCCAGTTTACCAGTGATTCTCATTCATCATCAAAAACATTTCTACGAGAATCCATATCCTTAAGCATATTTAAAGAAAATAATATATTTTCTTATGAACCGGAATCCAGTTTACCAGTGATTCTGATTCATCATCAGAACCGTTTGGATCCAAAGCATTTCTATGAGAATCTAGATCCCTACCAAACGCACCCTAATACAATATAGGTGTTAAAAAGGATAATAAGGTGCAAAAAGAATGAATAAAGTTCACACCTAATTACCTAAACTTAGTAAATAACATAACTTTTTTTTCAATTGATGTAATGACAGATGGAGGCAGAAAATACATCTATGCACATATTAACCAGAAAACCAATATAGTATTTCAGGTGGTTAAGATCATACCTACTGTTGCCAAACTTGAGTGTATCCTTTTCAAATAGCTCATAATAGCGCCGAGGCTCAATGCGATTTCCCTACAAAAACGATGAAATTCACATAACAGAAGAGTCAAAACGTGACCAGTAAATCTGACAGATTAACACACATATTACTAGAAACCTTACATTGATGAAAGTTCCATTTGTACTATCAAGATCCATCATATAAGGCCTGTCAAACAAGATGGCATGATAAAGCGTTACTGATATAATGAAATCGGGGAAGGCATTACTGATATCCCAGAGCAGAGATCAAGTAAAAAAAACATTGCAAAAAAAGAACCATGCAGAAAAACTAATAAGCATATGTAATTACCTTACTTTCTTTGCCATCATGCCATCTGGTTGCTCCTTCTCCACAAGTCTGAATAGAAAACAATGAACTTATTCCTATATGAATTCTTAATAGAGGTCCTTCTAAATGACACACAGCTCTCCTTTGTCATAGGGGAGGGAGGAGAGAGGGAGGGAGTGTAGCATACCGGTATTGAAGAACTGCATGTTGCTTGCTGCAGGAGGGATGATCTGTGGGGACGTCTGCAACTTTCCTCTCTCTTCCAAAAAGGTAGCAGGTCATCCGATGAACATACAGTGGTTCTGTTAAATCAGATATATCATAATAAACATTCAAGCGCAGAAAGTGCAAAACAGAAGCACAAAATCACAAAAAGAAACATGTCATTTTTTCCACATTCTCCACATCAATTCTAAGCTCTTAAAATATGATTTTTCAGGGTTCCCACACCATTGGGAAAGGCAAGCTGATTCATAATGTTATGTGTTCTACTCCCTCAGTTCCAAATTGTAAGCCGTTTAGGCTTTTCTAGGTACATAACTTTTGCTATGCACCTATGTATATGCTATGTCTTAGATACATAGTAAAAGCTATGTATCTAAAGAAGCCAAAACGACTTGCATTTTGGAACGGAGGGATTACGTGATTTTGAGCTTCAGGTACAAAAGGCAGACTATAACAGTATCCCAAAAAAAGAATAGAATGATCCATAGTCATGCAGGAGCCTCAATAAACTGAGGTCAGATACAAATGGGGACTTTTAACTGGTGGTTTACTGAATATCAGAGCTCAAATATACTTTGCGGATAACATGTAGGTATGTTGTCATTTCTACTACATTAGCAATGATATGTTCAAAGAAGGTAAGTCAAATAAATTCCATTAATTCATTCCAATTCAAAAACAAATATAATGAGATGTCTCTTGTGAACTGATGCTCGTACAATATTGCAAATCTTTATTCATTCACAAAACCAATAAGCTAATAAGCAGTATTTTGATGGATACTCCCAAAGAGCCCTCTCCTGATATCCCAGGAAGAGAAAAAATAATTGTACAGATTCAAAGTAAGCTTATGTTGTCATAATGTCATTACTCCACAAGTCCACGGGTTTGCATGTGCCCTATTTAAATGGACTATCAAGTGTAAAGAAATTTCTGCCATCACTAGTATACAGTTTTTCTTCTGTTACACCTCTCTTTTGCCACGTTCATTCCAATTGCAATAAACACCAATTTTGCCTGTTATCATAAAAGTCCACAAGTAGATGAGTGCCGTGCTTTCAAGTTTCAAGCGATAATAGACATGAGATGTAGGTGAATGTGGTTCCAGGATTTTGCAGCAATGCACCATGGTGCAGATATTTTTTTGCTGGTGCATCTACTGGGTTGAACCAGGGGAAATAGCTAAATAACACCATATGTCACTAAATGCCTAAATGTGAGTTTGCTCCTTCTACCTGTTTTAGAAAAACCATTGAACTGATAGAAACCATGACATAAAGCATTAAAAAAAATCATACATGGAGTAAACAAGTAGAGAACTACCATTCAGTGGTTCACCATCTTTAAATACATAGAGCCTCCATCTAATCTCTGACTTCCGAGCCTCTGCGGGTTCTGAATATAATAGATTTACACCTGAAGTAGGAACAAAGTGTCATCTCCAAGGATAATGCAGTGTGCCCACAGCACCAAAGGCACACACTATGTGCTGCATATAATTAATGGTTTTATCATTACAACAATTGTATGCCTATGTTCACATAAAAAAACTATAAGATACAAGAGCTTTAGATAAGCACCTGCAACTCTGTTGGTCTCCTCAGCAAGCTTTCCAGACAATTCAAACGATGGCTTTTGCTGCAAAACAAGGGGATAGATGGTTTCAGATCACAATACACAGCAAATGACAATTATTTATTAGCAAGGGAAACAAACATCAGTGAATGGAGAAGTTTCAGTATTTTTCAGATAGATAAATTGCTATAATCATCATCTACAATATTCATCATGGATCATGCACCACCTTTTCTTTTGCTTCAAGAGCTTCTGCAGTTGCGTTCATTCTTGCCAAAGCATCAGGATCTCCGCTCCTGGCCAAAATAAGAGTTCACTGTTACCAAGTGCAAATCACCGTTCATATCTAAAGTGAGAAAGCTTAGATTAATAACACGCTATCATCAGTAAGATTAAGAAATGACACAAAAGCTTCAAAATCTGACAGAACATTATTTAACAGCAGGATTAAAAAAAAAGGCTAATCCACCAAGCCCACTTGAGGCTAATCCACCACGCCCACTTTAGTAATGAGACGAACATAATACAATGATCTATCAATGAATTTGGCATAAAATGAATGCAAAATATGCTAGGATTTACGTGTTCTTTGCAAATCATATGAGATTAGATGGAAGCATGGTCATACTCGTAGTATTAAAAAATGCACATCTACACCTGTACTAGGATATAGTTTTTTTTTTCTTCTGTTAGGCCTCTCTTTTGCCATGGTCATAGTAAAAAGATTGTACATATACAAAATAAGACTTGCAGCGAATGATGCTTCTAATAAGGATTTAAAATGTATAATGGAACACAAGAGAGGTTAGTTTTGAGCACTGACCGGGATGCTTCACCTCCTCTAGAGTTAGTATCCTGAAATAAAAAGTAATGATGTTAGATTGCAGTTTACAGGCGCCAATATGATTGATATAACTGAGAGGTCCAGTATGTATAGTGCATGCATGAGAAGTGGGAGTTTGAGGACTGCAGATTTCACAATCCACAATTAGTAGTAAAAAATCCATGGGATTGGAAATAATTTTCTCACTCCGTATTTATTTGGTGGAGACTATTAACTTACCAGTAGACAGTAGCAGGACTGTAGGAAACATTCATGAAACAAAAGTACGCTAAGCCAAGTACATATGGAGACATGGAGGGATTTAAAGTGATGGGTAAGATATCACAAGAACCTCGGTACGTGCTGCACTTCTGGACACCTTCGGTGATGGATGAGATTCATGCCTGCCCCGATGCCTGTGCTCTTCTGGAGACACTGATCGACCACGCCTGGATGACCTTCCTGATCCCCCATTGCTCTCCTCATGATCTGTTGGTTTCTCTCTTGTAGAATCCCTTCTGTCACCACGGTCCAGCCTTTGCTCCCTTGAAGAAGCAGATTTCCAGTCATCCCGATTAGGCCTTCCATGCCTATCATCATCCCGGCTCGGCAATGTCTCCTTTGAAGCACCAGACTTGTCATCCTTCCCAGCCCTCCTCTCCCTAGAATGATCCTTCACATCATCACGATCATATTTCTTATCTTTTGCAGTACCTCTGGTATCCTCTCGATCCGACTTCCTATCTCTAGATGCATCCCTCCCTTCATCATGCTCCCTGAGCTTGCCCCGTGAGTCTCGCTCTTCCCTGTGCGAGGACTTGCGACGATCACCATTCATTACCTGCACTGCCTCCTTATCCACCTTCCTGTCCCTTGAAGCATCCCTCCCCTCATCATGCTCACTGTGCCTCACTGTATCCTGCTCCTCCCTGTGACTGGCCTTCCGGCGGTCACTGCCAGTAACCTGCGTCACCTCCCGCTCACCCTGGGCTCTCCTCAGCCTCTTGGTGCGTGGCGAGGGAGACCTAGAGACATGCCGCCTAGCAGGTGAGGGTGATCGTGACTGCTCCTGCGTATGTTTCGGCGACCTGACCCGTTGGTCCTTCGCCTTCTCCCTGGGAGGTGACCTCTCTCTCCCCTTGTGCGACAGGCTGACCTTAGCAGGAGACTGCGGCGACTTGACACGCTCCTTCACCTTCTCCCTCGGAGGCGACATGTCCCTGTCCCTGTGCGACGCACTTGACTTCGCAGGAGGAGACCGTGCCCTAGCAGGCGAACCCTTCCTCCGCTCTGGGGAACTCCGCCTGCGTGGCGGCGTTCCCCTCCGCTCCCTGTCCCTTGCTGGGGAACGCGATCTCCGCGTGTGCTCCTCCCTCCGCCGCTCCACCGCCGAAGCCATTGCTGACCTGGAGCAACACATTTTAAACACCGTTGAGTGTTGATTCAGGACGCGAGAAAAACACCGGAATTGCGCAAGGGTTTTTGGCCCGGCATTCGTGCGAAACGAGGGGCGGAGGGGAACTTACCGGAGATGGAGGAGGCGGAATGGATCTAGATGCTACCCCCCACCACGTACGGCGGCGGCGGCGCTGCTGCGGCGGCTGATTTTTTCTGCTTCAATCGCCTCAATCGTGGAGATGATGATGCTTGAATGGATCGAGATGTTCCATGGGGAGAAAGACTCAGAGACGAGAACATAAAGCCCAACAGAAAGAAAATAATAGCCCTGCTGCTGGTTGCTGTTTTGTTGCTTAGGCCCACGTATTGAGCCGATGTGGCAAACAGCATTTAGGGCCCGTTTGTTTAAGCTCCAGTTTTTAGCTGTTTTAGATTAAATCGGCTAAAACAAACTGTTTTAGATTAAAAGGGGCATACTAGCGCTTGACGTCCGAACCGAAGCGCAGGTACGGACGCCCGCCGCTCAGCCGAACGCATGCTCGCTCGTGCCACCACGTGGCGCACTCGCCCATGCACACTCGTGGACGTGCAGCCGAACAGCCAGTGGAGCGCACCTCCCTTGATTGTCAGCTGGGCCGCCAACGGCTACAACGGATCGACAGACAAAATAGCAACGCTCTAGCGCCCCTACCTCTACGATGGGTCCCACGTCGGGTGGTTGTCTCCCACGCGCTCCCTCTGGTTGCCCCCACTCACGAACGCGCATCGGACCATGCATGCCCGCCTTGCTGCTCGCCGCGCCTTGCTCGTCCTGCTATTACTTGCCCGCGCCATGCTGCGCGCCTACGTCTGCTCACCCGCCCCGTGGGGACCGCCTGTGCCTCATGAAACACTTGCAACATGGAGGACTTGCTGCAACATACATGTAAACATAGATGAAACATTTGGAACATATGTTGACAACATGTTGTAGCCACTGCAACATATGCAACATTCAGATAAAACACTTGCAACATATATCTGAAAACAACAGAAACATTTAAAACACACACTTGCAACATGCTTCTGAAAGACTTAAAAAAACACCTGAAAACATTTGAAAACCTTTGCAAACATATGCAACATACAGATAAACACACTTGCAACATACGTTCGAAAACATAGATGAAACATCGGTAATAGACCTTTGCAACATACATGTACAACCATTGCAATATATGCAACATCCCGATCTACTTTTGCAACATCGATATAAAACACTTGAAACATACCTCTGAAACACCTGAAACACTCGGAACATACGTATGCAACATGCTCTTTCAGCGCAAAGTTCCCCTTGCTGCTTCGCAAATGGAGTCTCTTCGGCGCGTGGAGGTCACCGGTATGCTCGCTGGCGGCAGGAGCTCACCGACAACGAGGAGCTAGGCAGCGGCGCATCAGAGGGCGGGTGTGGGGATAACACGAGCGCGTGGTGCGCGTAGAGGGCGGTTGGTTGGCGCACGGAGATCACTGGTGTGCTCGCCGTCGTCACGGAGCTCGTCGGCAACGTGGAGCTGGGCGGCGCAACACAGAGGCCCAGGTGGGGGCGGCACGGGCGACGGTGACGCAGAGGGCGGGTGGGCGCGGCGCAGGTGGCGTGTTTCTACCTCGCATACGCCTTCCATCGCAAGGGACACTGAAAGGATCAAGATGCCCAAGAGGGGGGGTGAATTGGACTAATTCTAAATTTCTTTGCAATAATTAAGTTCTACGGTTAGCCCAATTAACCCCTTGTGCCTAGAAAGTGTTTCTATTGATCTACCGCACAAAAGTTTAGCAACCTATGTTCCAATCCTACTCTAGCATGGCAATTCAATGAATGTAAATGACAAGAATTGAATCACTCAAAGCAACTAGATGAATCAATGTCCGTGAGCCAATCACCGATGATGTATGCCTTTCATTCTTCTTCTTCTTGCCATCTCTCTTCTTATATGGCTTGTTTTTCTTCTTCTCATGTTCTTCTTCATTACTTGAATCATGTTTCTTGCCCTTGTACTTGTTCTTGAACTTGTTTTTCTTGGGCTTTGGGTATTGGTGTGTTAGATGACCAAGTTTTCCACAATTATAACAATCCATCTCCGAGATTGGCTTCCTTCTAGAGCTAGTGAAGAACTTTTTCTTGTCATCGAACTTGATGCCACTCTTGTTAAGCTTCTTTAGCATCTTGGCGGTTCTTCTCACCATGAGAGCAAGACTTGCATCATCACTTCATCATCACTTGAGCTCTCACACTCAATTCTTGCTTTGCCCTTCTCTTGGCTACCTTTGAATGCTAAGTGTTTTTCTTTCTTCTTTGTAGAGGATGAGCCATCTTGAGGTGTGATGTGCATATACATCTCATGAGCATTGATCTTTCCCAAGATTTGTGTTGGTGTAGCGGTGGAAAGATCACCTTGATGAAGCACGGTCACAATATGCCCATATTTGTCAATGGGGAGGACACTCAAGATTTTCCTTATAACGTTGAATGGTTGTATTTGAGTAAGTCCAAGCCCATTGACTTTCTCTACAAGAACATTCAAGCATGAGTATATTTCATTAGCACTCTCTTTAGAAAGCATCTCAAATAAATTTAGCTTTTTCATGACAAGATGATAGCGTTCCTCACGCTCGCTCTTAGTTCCCTCATGGAGCGCACAAATGTTCGACCATAATGCATGTGCATTCTTGTGGTTTCTCACCCGGTTGAACACATCTTTATAAAGGCCTCTAAATATGGTGTTTCTAGCATTTGCATTTCATTTCTCGTAATTCACCTCATCGCCTTGTAGGTGTGTGGCATCCCGAGGTTTTGGGAAACCTTGTGAGGCGGCTCTAAGTATTCCAACATCTAGAGCTTCTAAATACGCCCTATGTAGATTTTCCAATATGAAAAATCATCCCCCTCAAAGATAGGAGGAGGACCATCCCCGTGAGACATCTTTCTCTAAGACGGTTAAGTCTAAATACGTGAGCACGAGGCTCCGATACCAATTGAAAGGATCAAGATGCCCAAGAGGGGGGTGAATTGGGCTAATTCTAAATTTCTTTGCAATAATTAAGTCCTACGATTAGGCCAATTAACCCTTGTGCCTAGAAAGTGTTTCTGTTGATCTACCGTACAAAAGTTTAGTAACTTATGTTCCAATCCTACTTAGCATGGCAATTCTATGAATGTAAATGACAAGAATTGAATTGCTCAAAGTAAATGCTCAAAGTAAAGAGAGGAGGAATGCGGCGATGTTTTGTCGAGGTATCGGAGAGTCATCACTCCCCACTAGTCCTCGTTGAAGCACCCGCGCAAGGGTGTAGCTCCCCATTGATCCACACAAGGATCAAGTGCTCTCTATGGGTTGATTCTTCGACACTCCGTCGCGGTGAATCACCCACGATCGCTCACAACTTGAGTTGGGTCATCCACAAGCTCCGCCGGATGATCACCAAGCTCCCAATCACCACCAAGACATCTAGGTGATGGCGATCACCAAGAGTAACAAGCACAAACTCTCACTTAACCATGACAAGCCTAATAAGAAGGGTGGATGTACACTTTATTACTCTTGCTTTCACTAATAAAGGCTCTCTTTGAGATTCTCAAATCTCAATCACCTCACTAGGACCTTGCTCTTCTTGGCACTCTCAACGGTGTTTCTCAGCTGTTGGAATAAGTAAAAGTACCTCCTCACATGAATGGAGGAAGTATTTATACACCCGTATTTAAAACGAACCGTTATGTGCCTCTGCGGGATGACCGGACGCTCCGGTCATGTTGACCGGATGCTCCGATCAGTTCTCCCCGGACTCCAGTGTTTAAGAGCGAGACAGGACCGGATGGCCGTCCGATCCCGACCGATCGGACGCCGTCCGATGATTTTCCTCTCTCGAACCTTCTTTGAGTTGACCGGACGCTGGCACCCAGCGTCCGGTCGCTCACCTCTCAGCGTCCGGTCGCACCAGACGAAATCACCTTGATCAAATGAACTGACCGGACTCTGCGCCAGCGTCCGATCAGTATTTGACCCTCCATTCACTTCCAACTCTCAATCATACGTGAATAAAGTTTGCTCTAATTGATCTAAGGGCTTTTTAGGAGCTAGCTAGTGCTAGATTTAACAAGTGTGCACCACACCTAACTCACTAGACTCACCTAGGTCATGCTACCCGTCCATACCCCCTTAATAGTACGGCCAAAAGAAAAACAAAGTCCTAAACTACTCTAAGTGTCTCTTCAACACCAAACGACACTTAGAATTAGTCCATCCTTAACCTTGTCGTCCATCCTTTAAAAACCAAAACGATTTTCATCGTAGGGGCATGACAACCATTATTGCCCAATCGATCTTCATTACCATAACCTAACTTAATTGCCTCTGCAAAACACACGTTAGTCATAGTAATCACGTATTGTCATTAATCACCGAAACTCAACTAGGGCCTAGATGCTTTCAGACACCTCTAGGCTTATGCGAGCCACCTCTAGGTACATCCTCGTCTTCACGAGGCCTGAGTATCTGGCTGTCGCTGGGGAAACAAAGCAGAGTAGAGAAAGAAAAACAGAGCAGAGAAGAATGTTAACGTAGTGGAAATAGATAAGAAAGCAATGAGTGGATGAGAATAAGAGAGATGAAAAGAGCAGGGAATAAAAGAAAGGCAAAGTTATGATGTACATCAGGCCACACGTCCATCCAAAGGGAGTCGCTGGCGTTGGACGTCCTGTTCGTAGCATTGCCAATATAAAAAGAATCTAAAATAAACTAGAAACTGAACCCAAAATGAGATAGAAGCTAATAAATATAGGAAAAAATTAAAATAAACCAAAAATCGATGAAACAAGAAAGGGCCCAAAACGAATTAGAACCTAATAAAACTTTAAAAATTAGCTATTTGTTAACCAAGAGCAGCTCCTACTCCTAGCATGTTAACCAGGTCTGCTGGATACGAGCTATTTGTTAACCAACTAAAAATTAGCTAAAATCAACCATATTTCATCGAAACAGGACGTGAGCTATTTTTTTTAGCCAAGCCTCCAATTAATTTTTAGCCAACTAGCTAGCCAATCTTACCTATAAAAAAAACTAGCCTATCTTAGCTAATTTGAACTATTTTTTAACCTAACCTCAACTAGTAATTAGACCTAGCTGATCTAAACCAACCTAGCCAATCTTAGCTAATTTGAACTAATTTTTTAACCACAACTAGTAATTAATCCTAGCTGATCTAAACAGACCGGTGAAGAAAATAGCAGTTATGATACTCAGAATCCCTGTGCTGGAGGCTAAACTCGAGTCTTTAAGCTTGGGAACAGTATCGTTCCGAATAGGCCCAAACTCTGAAAGTGGTACGAGCTAGGGAAACACGGCACATAACTACACTCGAAAGGTACATGTATTTTATTGGCTGAAGATCACATGTAGATCAGCATTCACAAGCATTCAACAAAACTTCGTAGAGAGAAATATGGTTCAATATATCCAGGAAAGTAACCGGGTAAAGTAGCATCCCTCATTGAGCAATGTATCTCCGAAATCTTGTACCACTAAACCAAGAATTAGCGACAAAGCACAACCAAAATTCATTTGTGGTAGCCATTCAAAATTTGCAGCTCTGCTCATCTCAACAGGTCCGTCAGTTTTAGACCCATACAAGTGATGCGAAGAAAATACCTATATAAATGTTTCAGTGAGAAGGTAAGGATTGCATTTGTCATTGGGCCAGCATGTAAGTATGCTTACTAGATAGTAAGTGTTTGCATATAATAACTACAAATCTGTAAGAATCAAAGCTCGCTATGTGGATCTTTTAAATCCAGAAAAGAATGAAGACACTGCAGTTCAATAGTTCACAAACCCAATAGGCGAGCAACAGCTCTGCACATCTGACATCTCATCATGGTTGCCTTCAAGGTGAGGGCTTGTCATTTCAGTGGTAGAATCCACAATTGAATCTTGTGTATCCAGTCTCTGCTAAGATAGTACAACAGCCAGACGGCACTAGAGTCTCCAGGTGGGAAGTTTATATGTATAATCATGTGAAAAATGTGACAACATCTCTCGTATATCCCCTGACTATTAACATGCGTGGGACATTCTCTACAAGCAAATCCATGTACTCCATATAGAAATATGAAGGGTGATTTAATGGTGGTGGTGGAAGGCTCACAAGAACTACAGCTGCCATTCTGGAGTACCTGAGTATCGTGGAGTTCAACTTGAACATTGTGTAAAGGAATTTATCAACCTTCTGTTCATTCACAACAACTTGCCTCCCATTCTCCATTAGTGGCTGCCTTTCTCTTTGAACAGTTTCCTTCATCTCGTCAAGGTATGTTCTGATCCTTTGCTGTGCACTTGTGTAAGCCTCATAGGAGTTATCCTGCTGAGCACCGCTACTGCTGCTCTCCATGTGTGACTCCCATGATTTCATAGTGACAACAATGACCTCAGCTTGCATCCTAAGATCATACAAGAACTTTTTGACATCAGCCTTCAGCTCCTCTGCGTCGGTATCCTCTTCAGATATGCAGAAGACTTGGATCTTACAGCTCTCAAAACTCTCCTTTGTCAGCAGGAGCTGAGAAAGAAGAAGCATCAATCCTCCATCTCTTACAATCCAGTAGAGGTCAATAGTCCCATACTGTCGCTGGTACTCATTAGGCCACTCATCGAGTCCCTTCACAATCACTACTGCCTTGTTAGCAATAATGCAGTCATTTATTATGCTGACAAATGTTGACGGTATCTGTGTCAAATTCTCACGCCGCCAGATCTCAGGGTACCGCATCACAACAATGTTTGGCTTCAAGTTTCCTAGGCCCATTGTCTGCACAATGCTACGGAAGCCATCAGACATAGTAGGAGCTACAATGATCTCCGCAACACCCTCACAGCGTTTGTAGTCAATGTAAGCATCCAGTTGGCGGCAGGCAGTCTTTGCATCCTCAGCTAGTTCATGGTAATCACCATCAATTATCGAGACAAAAATGGACATACCACGGCCCTTCTTCTTCATACAATTAGCGAAGTCAGCAAGTTTTGGATGACAAGGAACATTTTCCGGAAGTTTACCCCATGGACGGCAGAATATCAGAGGAATGGGGTACCAATTCTTAGGATGCACTTGGTTTGCTGCAGAAAGGACCAAAAGTTACAAATTGTGAAGTATGATTATGTATTTGCAAAGCAGATAGTCAGTCGTACCTCCAAGTGATCTGAGACTTCGGAGTGCCAATTGAAAGTATGCACTCTTGAACCCATCTCCCCAGTCTCCAGCCTTCCCTTTTATGCTCACATAGTAATAGATGAGGCTTGCAAGGGCAAGGGAGACAACAGTGAAAGACCAGGAGATCAGAAACATAATCACTGAAATTGATAGAAGGATTCATGTCAGCACTTATAATTATAAATGCATTTATGGCTGTTTCAATTAGATATTTGCTATTGCAAAACATGATAAATAATACTTGAGTATAGGTGAAGATAAGGTGGTTAGATTAAAAACAATAGAAGTGGACAAAGTCTAAAACCAAGGACCTAGCTCAAATATCAACTGTTCATGCTGAAGATCGTGATAAACAAATAAAATGGTAAAAGTATTAAGAACCATACCAATACAGAGCAATGCCCCAACAAGTGAAAGGCTCCAATGGTGAAATTTCCATCTAGGGCGCCAGCTAGGAGCATCCAGGAGGTCAAGCAGAAAGCATGACAGGTTCACGCCGGCATAGCACAGAAGGAAAAACATTGTGATAGTGGGTGTAATCAAATCCAAGTTTCCAATAACAACACAGCAAATACAGATGAAAGCCGTGAATAAAGTGGCCGCATGCGGCTCGGATCCCTCAGAAACTTTGAAGTAATTAAGAACCGGAAGAATGTCATCATTCGCAATTGCTGCAAGCAACCTTGGAGCCCCAGTCAAACTCTGCAGTGCTGCACCTAAGGTTGACAGAATAATACCAATGTAAATCACTGCAGGAGCAGGCCAAGCCACTGTAGCAGTAAGAAGCCTGCAAGTGGTTAAGGATATTTATGAGATAACCGCACAAGCAAGAAGACACTGTAACAGCTGGCGTAAGCCTTATGGGATTACATAAAAAAATAAGCAACTGGAGACTACAGTAATGCTTAGGATGTTGTTCTAAGACAATAACCAAAAAAAAAGGGCGTACCCAGTGCAGAGAGCTCCCGCTCTGTGCGGGGTCTGGGGAAGGGTGTTAGTAGCAAACCTTACCCTCGCCTGTGCAATGCGAGGAGACCGCGACTCGAACCCGGGACCTTCCGGTCACAGGCGGTAAGACTCTACCGCTTGCACCAGGCCCGCCCTTCATTCTAAGACAATAACCAATAAGGTAAAAATAAATCAAACACTTAGTTAAGGTTATACAAAGCAACACAGAGTATTGTTAGCCATTAAGACTATCTACCACAATAATATGAACATTGATCTTATAAAGTAGATTAGCTGGCATTTATTCACAGTAGCTCCAGATGCACAATAGTAATCGTAGAGCATTCTGATTGTAAAATTATGGAGCAAATATCCTAAAACAGGATCTATATAACAGTAACCAACAATTCGCTAACAAAAAAAAAAGTTTATGTCCACTTCATAGACAATCAGAAGCAAGTGATGGATGCAAGTAAGAACATGAATCATTTTCTCTACTGTTAGGAAACTTAAAACCAACATAATTATGCCTTTGGCCATAAAATCATGTTGGCCTTTAGCCATAAAATCATGTTGGCTTGAACTTGATGAAAGAACTAGCACATATGCTCTAATGGCATCATGAACTATAAAGCCAGATTTATTAAGCCCTTAAAACAATTATCAGCAACTGACACAAGAAGAACTTGTATGCAGTACTAAAAAGCAGATACCTATCAGTTAGAAGCTCCTCCCGTGTGGCCAAGGCTCCAAATAGAAGCACAGAGAACAGGTACATAGCAGTTGTTGTAAGAGTTGCAGATAATGTGCCAATTGGTATTGAACGCTGTGTATCTTTCAGTGAAGCAGATCGGTTTGAGCCAGCCATAATTCCAGTGACTGCTGGGAAAAAGAGACCTACCAAAGCACTGAAAGATCGATACAAAAAAAATGTTAGCACAATAAAGTTTCACATACATAAGGAAATGTGCAAACCGCCGTGCATTTAAAAAATGCAGCAAAAGGGTCATGCCCCTAATATCTTGGAAATCTCTAAACCTTGTCACAGTTAATCATCTAGTTCCAACAGGCTTTGAATATACGGCAGATGGAATTCACTAAACAAGTGGATATGAACAGGGTGAGCTTTTTTCTGGTAATAAATAATCCTGCCATTCTGTTTAACCTATTAATTTTTGTAGTTCTGAGCAATTAGTGTCAATTTTGATGGACCATGGTTCCTAAAAATGTGCCACCAGGCCCTGTGGTTACCAGGAACAGGACAAACCAGGTCAGCATGTATTTACCATGTGATAAATCATAAAGAATTTGCGATCTCAAATGATTGCATTAATTACAGAGATAATTCAGAACTTCATGAACTTATTGGAGTCTAACAAGTTTGCATACCCACATTGCAATACATGTTTCTAAAGGAAATAAAAACGTTTTGTGAGAAAAACACATGTCCCAGCCATTTATACACCTTTGCAGGAAATCACCTAATATGGGATCTTTTTTGCACTCAAGATGACTATTTTCTTCATTAGGAAGAGAACACTGTTCCAAACCAACCACATTCACATTCAACACCATGATGGCACAGTACTGTATCCACAGGGTGCTTAAGAATGCAGGTTACGATACGACCTGAGCTCTTCACAACCAAAACCAGGCTATGCAACAGGACAATGGCACAAAGGCACAGAGGTGTGCATAGGATGATTGAATAGCAAATGAATCTCTCTGCATAGGCAGTAAACCAGGGGGTGGGTGGCATATTTGGTCCAGCTGAAGGAATTCGATCAACATGTTGGTTCCAAATGTTTGCCTCTGTCTAAATTACAGCAACATTGAAGAGAAGGATCGGTGCCATTGCCAACATTTGCTTAAAATTATCCAAACTCTAGGAGAGCATGCTGAAGTTACTTGCATATTTTTTATGGATAAAGAATATTTTTCAATTTTGACATAGGAAAAACTTACTTGAAATCCCAATATATTGATCCACTTGGATCAGGAACACCAGCATTGTTTGTTCGTTGATAGTCTTCACCCCAATTGTCTTTCAATGTGGTTATACTCAACCCAGTGATTCCCTCTACATCCGTCAACAGTAAAATTCAGCACATGGAGATGACAACATAATCTGAAAGTAAAAAATGAGGGTACGTACTTGGAGCATTATGCCTTGGTGCAATGAAGACACCAAGATAGATGCACAGCAAAGAAAACAGGACTGGTATTAAGAAAGCAGGTGCAACCTTGTTGATGATTTTGACACCACCAAACACAATAAAACACAGCAGTATGGTCACAATAACACCATACACTTGAAGATCATGCAAGCTGGGTGTAGATATAGTTGACACGCCAGCAGTTTCTGTACCATTCACTAATGTATTGTTGACAACTGTTACACTCTCTGCGTTTTGAAACAGGTATAGATTAGTCCACACAAAAATCAGAAACAGGTACAAGTTAGTCCTAACAAAAATCAGAATCAGAATTAGAAGTTATGTAAAGCAATTAATATAGCTTTCATCACTTCTTTTATTTATCCCCATCAAACTAACTAGCTAACTTTGCTCACTGTTGCATGTCATCAGTGATCAACGGAGAAGGGCTTTGTCATGACTGCGAAATAGGCTCTTTTGTGACTGCCATGACAGATGGGCAACCACCAATATATTTGCTTTCATGCATGCACCTAACAGAAAAATATGGTGCTAAATCATACATGATAATATGCGTGCATCTTTGATATAAGTGTCTGTTCAAGTAACCCCTTCATTTCTTTCACAAGGCACATCCTGTCTACACAACAATTAAGGTGCTTATAACATCAGGAATACAGGCATCAGGAAATGAACATTATGTCCTTGTGTTAATGTCTTAAAAAGAAGAGAGAATAGTGTATGAATATCCAATAAAGATGCTATGAGAGAGAATGTAAAAGAGGCTAAACAAGAGAAAGGATCACTGAAACAAAAATGGTGTGGCGCCCAAGGGGGTGATGGATAAGTCTATGTGGTCTTTGTGGGGCTGCAGCAGTCTTTGTGGGGTTTTTTGCTGCCATCAAGGACAGCATCCTTGACTGGGACAGAGGACAGCAGCAGCAGCATCCTTGACTGGGACAGCAGTAGCAGCATCCTTGATTGGCATCTTAGCATCTAGGACAGCATCTAGGATAGCATCTAGGCATATGCTTGGCTGGCTAGTAGCCTATAAATATGTATCCCCAACCCCTCAGGTTGGTATGGCATTTGTGTGAGTTTGTATGAGAAATAAACCAGAAAATTGCCCCAACTCCTAGTGTCATCCTCTCTCGATGAGAGTAAGAATTCTGCTACTACCGAGAGTGAGAGTTCAACAACTAACAAGTGGTATCAGAGCCGTACTATCCTGCAGCCTGAGCATCTCCTCGCTCATCTCCCTTCAACCCCCACAACAGCCCCACTGCTGTTGGCAGCTCCTCCAGCCCCCCCGCCACTCCTCTCCCCTCACGCACGTCAAGCAGCCCTCTCCCCACACAGAGCCCCCGGTAGCAGCGTCATGTCCATGAGGTAGTCTCGGCCTTTCGGTCGCCTCGAGCACGGCGGCGGCAGAGGCCGAACTTGCTGCAGCAGAGGAACGCGAAGCAGAAGCGGCGGCAGAGAGCCGCGCTGGCGGCGGCAAGGGCGCCGAGGTGGCAATGGGGAGCGGGCAGCAGCCAGGCAGAGCGGAGGCGGAGGGGGCGGAGGTCGAGGCTCAGGGCAAGATCGGCACTCCATTTCCGCCGGCGACACGCCGACGCGGACCTCAAGCTGCTAGAGAGAGGAAGGCAACATGAATGGCGGCGGGCGATGAAGGGCAGCGCAAGACGCCCACGAGCGTGGCGGCAGCCCAGACAGGCGCGGACGCGCTGGCGGCGCTCCTGGAGGAGGCGGCGCGCATGGCGGTGGCGCTCCTAGGGCAGCAGCGCAAGACGCCACGCAGCAGCGGCGGCGGCAGCCCAGATAAGCGGACGCGCCGCGGCGACGCTCTGGTGGAGGCGCGACGGCGGCGGCGCTCATGGAGGAGCGTGCCGACGCGGCAACGGTGGCGGACGGGTCGATGGAGAGCGCTTCACACAGCGGCGTGGTTTCTCCCGGATCGGTACCGACGGGTCGATGGAGAGAACGGCCTTCACAGTGCGGCGTGGCTCTCCCCGGATCGGTGACCGTGGTTACCACGGGCTCCAGTCGTTGTCGGGGACGTCGGTCCGGCGGTGGGTGGCCTACCTCACCAAGACCAACTACGCCGAGTGAGTGCGGTGATGAGGGTAAAGCTCGGTGCGGCACATGTGGAGGCGGTCCCGAGACGGCGGCGTCGACCACGACCTAGATCGACGGGCGCTGGATGCCCTCATCGCCGCGATCCCGCCCGAGATGCGATTCTCTCTTACCAACAAGCGGATCGCCAAGGAGGCTTGGGACGCCATCGCAGCTAAGACGCGACGGCGGCCGATCGCGCCCGCAAGTCCACACCGCAGCACTTCGCAAGGAGGAGTGGGAGAACTCGCCTTCAAGCCGGTGAGGACGTTGATGACTTTGCTCTCCGCCTCAACACCATTGCGAGAAGATGGTGCGATTGGCGATGACACCTACGGCGAGGAGAGAGCCGTCGAAAAGCTCTTTCGCCGTCCCCGAGAAGTACAAGCAGATGGCTCGCTCGATCGAGTCCTCGCTGGATCTCTCCACGATGTCGATCGAGGAGGCGATAGGTCGCCTCAAGGTCGCCGGCAATGACGAGCCACGATCTCTCTCGGGGCCCATCACCATGGCGGAAGCTCCTTCTCACTCGGGAGCAAAGTGGCTTGCCGCCTAAGGTGACCGGAAGAAGGGGAGCCTTCTTCGCGACGACAGCGATGCATAAGCGTGGGGCAAGCCACGCAAGCGCGCAGAGACGCCAGGCAGGGCGCGAGGACGCGTGCGAGGGTGATGATGCCATGAGGCGCCAGGCGGCGCCGCGGCAGCACAAGTTTAAGAAGAGACGACGCCGCCGCATCGCGCCTTGGCCATTGGGCCAAGGATCGCCGATACCACGACGCTGCTGTGCCCACGTCAGACAAAGTGAGGAGTCGGCTCGTTCATGGCACATGCAAGCATCGAGCTACCTCTCCGGTGGCACCGGCCGGCAGCTGCTCCTCCACCTTGACGAGCCAAAAGCACACGCCTCCTCGGCCGCAGCCCAAAGAACGACAAGATCGACGGGTGGTGCCTCAACACCGGCGCCACCCATCACATGACCGGTCGACGGGAGTTCTTCACCGAGCTTGACTCTAGCGTCCGAGGCTCGTCAAGTTTGGGATGCCTCCGGCGTGGAGATCAAGGGCGTTGGCTCCGTCATCTTCACCGCCAGTGTCTAGTGAGCAGCAAGGTTGCTCACCGGAGTCTACTACATCCCTCGTTGAGGAACTCTATCATCGACTTTGGGACAATTTGGATGAGAACGGTTCGCGCGTGGTGGTTGAGGATGGAGTCATGAGGATTTGGGATCGCCGGCGCCGCCTTCTTGCTAAGGTAACGTAAGCGCCAAATCGACTCTACGCCCTTAACGTGTGGCAACCCTCTATCTCGCCGCTCGTCGGGATGACGAGGCGTGGCGATGGCACGCAGCGTTTGGGCACCTTCACTTCGAGGCCCCTGAAGTGGCTCGATTACCCACGGAGATGGTGCGAGGTGCGTCGTGTCTCGACCATGTGGAGCGGACTCTGCGACGTCTCGCGTGTTGACGGGCAGAGGCGACTCCCCTTTCCCGGTGGCATGAAGCCGAGCCAAGGAGAGGCTCGAGCTTGTGCACGGGGACTTGTGTGGCCCGGTGACACCGACCACACCGGAGGACGACGCTACTTCCTTCGCCGCCTTTCGTCGACGACCTCTCTCGCTACATGTGGGTGATGGTCCTCGGCAAAGCAAAGGAGAGGTGCGGACACCATCGGTAGCGCGCAAGAAGCCGCGGGGGAGTGAGCGCTGGTCAAGAAGTTGCGTCGGTCGCAAGACCGACAACGGCGGCGAATTCACGGCGGTGAATTCGCGTCATCATGGCCGACGACGAGGGCATTCACGCCACTACTCCGCCGCAGCCGTCTGACCGCAGCAGAACGGCGGCGACGCCGAGCGGCGCGCAACCAGACGGTTGTGGGGATGGCTCGGCCCTCCTCGCAGTAGGGGATGCTTACCATCTTCGGGAGAGGCGGTGGTGACGGCCGTCTACATCTCAACCGCTCGCCCACCAAGGCGCGACGGCAGGACGCCGTCTGACGAGGCTTGGCATGGGCGCAAGCCGGCGGTCTCCCACTTGCGGGTCTTGGTACCGCCTCGCGTTCGCCAAGGAGCTTGGCTACATCAACAAGCTCGACGACGAGAGCACTCAAAGGGAGTGTTCATCGGCCACGGAGAGGCTCAAGGCTCACCGCATCCTCGACCAAGACGCAGCTGCAGGCGCACGACGCGCGACGTTGTGTTCGACGAAGGGCGTGGGATAAGTCGGTGGACGACGGCTCGGCTCCGACGTACGACGACTTCACCGCCGAAGTACGCCCACTTCGAGGGAGTGGGGAGTAGGCGCTCTTCTTCTATGAAGCGTCTACCCACTAGTGGAGAAATGAGATCTAGTCCGGTTGGGAACTAGCTCTACTCTGGTTTCCCAACAGGGACTAGCAATCCGGGACTAAAGGTTGGGATCTTTAGTCCGGGCACATAACCGGGACTAAAGGTCCATCCCCAGGAGAAAAAATAATCGAAATACTAGGGAGACCTCTCTTGCGGTGTATGAGATTCGAACCCAGGACATCTCTCCTCGCGCATAAACTCCTTACCAACTTAGTCAGACACCACATGTGACAGAGTCCCGACACTCTCCTTTTGAATTGACCCATGGGATACCTTTAGTCTCGGGTGAAAGACCTTTAATCTGGGTTGGTGATACCAAGGGACTAAAAGTCACCATTTAGTCTCGGTTGATATTACCAACCGGGACTAAAGGTTGAAGGACCTTTAGTCCGGGTTGGTAACACCGGTAGGGACTAAAAGGTTGACCTTTAGTTCGGTTTTAGGCTCCAAAGGGACTAAAGGTGGCATGTCATGAAAGCTCGCCAGACAAGAGCCTTTAGTCCCGGTTGGTAGCTCAAACGGGACTAATTCTCCTCTACTCCTGCACTTAAAAAATATCGAGACTAAAGCCCAAAATCGAAGTAGATGAAAGGTCATTTCTCTACTAGTGACCCCAGTCCCCGAGCCTTCACCGACCCCGGCGCCTGCTACTCCGATAGCACCACGCTCTCTAGCCAGGACCTCGGCTGCGATGAGTTCTTTCAAGCGGCTCCACCACGGTGCAAAGCAACGCCACGCACTCCAAAGACCGCACAGCACCACTCCGCACGTCTACCCCACCACCAACTCGTGTCGAAAGCACGGCCCGGTTGAGCTCAGCACTCTCGCTCTCTCACGACGAGGAGGGCCGACGCTAGCACTCACGATGGCGAGCCGTTGCGGTACCGTACGCTGGAGAACCTTCTCAGTGAGTCTTTGTGGCCCTCACAAGACGACGCACAAGACTTAGCACAAGCCCCACAAAGTCCGCTCTGGCCCTAGCAAAGAACCCCGTCTTCCACGAACGCAGCAAGCACATCCGGGTGAGGTACCACTTCATCCAAGGCTATTTTGAGGAAGGGAGCATCAAGGCGAGCTACATCAACACCAAGGACCAGCTTGCGGACCTGCTCACAAAGCCCCTTGGGAGGATCAAGTTCCTTGAGCTCTGCTCCAGGACCAGGATGGTTCAACTTCCTCACAAGACGACGCACAAGACTTAGGGGGAGAATGATGGATAAGTCTATGTGGTATTTGTGGGGCTGCAGCAGTCTTTGTGGGGTTTTTTGCTGCCATCAAGGACAACATCCTTGACTGGGACAGAGGACAGCAGCAGCAGCATCCTTGACTGGGACAGCAGCAGCAGCATCCTTGATTGGGACAGCAGCAGCAGCATCCTTGACTGACATCTTAGCATCCAGGACTAGCATCTAGGACATCATCTAGGATAGCACCTAGGCATATGCTTGGCTGGCTAGCAGCCTATAAATATGTATCCCCAACCCTTCAGGTTGGTATGGCATTTGTGTGAGTTTGTGTGAGAAATAAACCAGACAATTGCCCCAACTCCTAGTGTCATCCTCTCTCGATGAGAGTAAGAATTCTGCTACTACCGAGAGTGAGAGTTCAACGACTAACAGGGGGCGGGCACCCTCTCTATCTCAGCCGTTGCATGTGATTGTCCCCGTCAACTTTAACGAAAGACAGGTTAACGGTGGCACAGTAAAAAAATATTTGCAGCAGATAGAACTGGTTGTATATCGGATTTCTATGTAGTAGCAGATGATGTGTGCTGCAGATTGGTGTATACCTGTTTTTTTTTTTAATATAACTTTGTATTCCAGATCACTTTGTGCTTTAATTAATGTATTACAAAGCTCCACTTTATGGCTTCCATATTATTGGGCCTTAAGAAATTATATGTTCCTTATAGCCATCATCATGCTATCTATATATGGAACGCAGGTGTGATGTTGTGCAACTGAAAATTATGGAACTATACCATTGAGTAGTTCAACAGAGAAGAATGAACTCCATACAAGAACATAAACACATCATTTTGATTCACAGAAGTTATACAAGTACATGTTTCATTTTTTTTTACTGGACTGTCCAGCCGTCTGCTGCTGTTAGTGTCTGTTTGAGCAGCTTTTCAGAATTCCATCCACGGTGTGGATAAGCAGGGCGCCAGCCCACCAGGGTGCCAAATGCATACTCATCACTGAAATTGCATGCCTGCCTTATATTTTGGCAATGAGGGAATATTAAATAACATATTACATGATTACCATCTCATAAACTGCAATTGTGTGAATATAGATGCTCCATATGTCCAAAGTACTCAAGCACATGAACCACACTTGAAATATACATAAATAGACCAAAATTCTATTCACAAACTAAGCATACTAATTCAAACCATTTGTAACTTACTTTGGAAAAGTCCAGCAGAAGGAACAGCATCAAGAAAGGTTTCTACAGCCCCAAGCACATACCTGAAAATGGTCAAATAAGTTTCTAAGGCGCAGATGAGTGACACTCCTGCATGAATGCACCCTACCAACAAGTAGCAAATTATTCAAAACCTATATTATTTGAAGTTCCAATGAGTGTTATCAAACATAATTCCTGTACTCTTCTGTCATGGACACACTTTAGATGGCCCTGGACCCAAGTAAGCAGGACCATGCCACAAGGGCAGAGGGATAGAGAAGGGATTGGGACTCTTGATCTATTTCTCGCTTACAACCAAAACAGACACATTCCCAATCTATATATAGATGAGATGACTTTACCTTTAAGAACCTATCTATAAAATTAACGAAATACTCTTTCCATCCCAGAATATAGATAAAACTAGTTTTGGCATTCACATAGGTGCTATAAGCAGTCTACTGCCAAAATACCCCTCCTATCTCCCATGTTCACAAACTAATTTGGCAACATGCAATTTAAAAAAAAACTTTTATCGCTGCCATGCATGTCTGGCATGCACATTTCCTTTTTTTTAATTTGGCGACAAGAAAATTAAATTGGAAGGAACCACTGCCATGCACAGACGCTGGCAAACATGCAGCTCACTTGCCCATGCAGTGGGACAGTTAATGAAGGGCGAAATCAGACCTTTTATCGCTCTCCTTAATCTGTCTGAGAAAGTCTAAAACCAGCTATATTATGGGATGGAGGGAGTACATAACAGCTCAAACCAATCTAATATAATCTCCAACAGAACAAACTCATCCTTGGCCTGGTGTTAACAGTACATCAGTACCTAGCGTGAACAGTACGCGCCGGCCTTCGGGGAGGCGGTTAGGCACTGCTCTTTCTTATGGGCCCTAATGGGCTGGGTATGGCATCTTCTCATTGTTTCCTAATCAGTTTCCCATCTAGAAACCATACTAGTTCAATCACAGAGTTGCGTGGATCTTTATAAAATACCCAACAGGTGGAGCTGCCCTGCATTCCAATCATTGACCGGCAAAGGTACAACAACAAGAATAAAGCCTTTTAGTCCTAAACAACTTGGGCTAGGCTAGAGATGGAACCCAAAAAAAGCCAAAAGGGAAGATAAATAAAAGGTAAAAAGAGGTATTAGTAGCAGTGAAAATAGTACATGCGGACTAATAGACTTGGTCATGGTTTGGACATGTGGGTTCCTGATTTCCACATGCTCTTATCTAAAGATAATTCTTTGGGTGTATTCCAATCTTCAAGTCTATTTACTGCCACCTCCCATGTCAGGCTGGGTTTCATCTCCAAAAGATTGGCTGGCTTCTTTACGTTGGCTCACCAACCTGTCACGCCCCCTTCCTCTATGTTGAAACAAAATGAGGCATAACAGTTCACTACTTTATATTCTTTTACTCACTACATACTAATACATACTATTTATCACATGCTGACTAGAAGAGAAGTTCACAGTGATACCTACGCAGCAGGTGCAGAAAGAGTGCATTAACATCATAATAGCATTGTATCAGAAAACTGAAAACGACAACCTCAATTAATGGCTGTAATGGTGCACACTTACATGGATCCAGCCACTGCATTCCCGAGGAAGAAGCATAATCCTATACTAACTCCAACTTCAGGACCAAGTGCACGGCCTATAAGATAATATGGTCCACCACCCTATAGGTCATTCAAAATGCATGTCAGTTTGTCGGCGTTGGTTTGTTTTGGTTGAACCCTAGAACAACAAAAATGAGATCTCGAAGTACTTTGTCCCAGCATTGAATCAAGATTCAATTTTATCCCCCAGAGAATTTTCTCTGTATCCCACAAATGGTATGAAAAGCAAAGAAGACAATCAAAATGGTGAACATACCAGCCCTAAGAATTGTCAAATATTGTGCAAATATTTAACATACCTTCATAGCTCCATTCGTTGCAATGGCACTTAATGATATCGAGGTTAAAAATGTGCATGCACCACAAAATGAAACTAACACAAGTGACTGCCATACACCTGCCATACCTACAATCCTACAGAAAGGAGGAAAAGTGTTGGTCAAGTTTATCTAAGAAGTATTTGTTAGTTTTTTTATCAGTAATGTATGAGGCAGTGAAGAGAGACAAGCATCACAGTGAAACACCACTTATACCTGATTTGAACAACAGGAGGATAAAAATGAGACTAATACTGTAATAAGTCAAATTTCAAGTACTGATACCAATTTACAGTTTTACTTCAATATTCTTTTATTTGGTTCTAATATAACAGAAGGGCAGCAACATCTGTATGATCAGCGGAGCATTTTCAGAAAATAAAAAGTAGAAACAATGTACTGAGGCCATAACAAAAGTGTATGTAATACCTTACCAGGTAAAACGGATATAATAAATGATTCCCAAGATATTCTGCAAGCATGGAACAAAGACACCCATCATGGTGCCGAACTTAGGTCCACTTTGCTGTCCCAAAAAAAAAGAAGTAAACTCCTCAGTCATATAGGTATATCACTTCTACAATTTCATAAATCAAAATGGAATGGAATGGAATCTGGTCACTAAAACCAACAAGAATGAATAAAGTTAAAACTTAACAACCACTGATCAGACATGCACGAACCCAATGATATTCCAAACAAACTCAAATGAACAACCCAGCTATCTCTGCTTAAGTGAATATTCACATGCAGCAAACAAAATAGGTGATAGGATTACGGATCCTACCGCGTAGATCACGGAGTCTGTAGGGGTGAGAGGGAGGTGGAGCAGGCTGGGAACCTCGCTGCCGGCGGCTGGACGCCGTGGTGGAGGATGGGCGGCTGCGGCTGTAGCCCTAACCCTCGCGTAGCTACAGTAACGGCGGCACTGTTCACGCGTGAACAGTAGAGGCTGCTAGGGTTAGGAACTCCCGGCTCCCAGGGGAAGCCGGAAACAATAGATTGTTTCTGCTTAATTATCCAAATGTCTTACAAGCCATATATATAGCTCCCACAAATAAGGGATATATCTAATAAATAGGCTAAATAATAGATAATATGGGCTGTTAGCCCCCTAATGCCGGCGCACAAGCTCAGCCACTAATGGGCCTCCGCCTGGTATATGTGACGCCGGTCATAACATCTCTCCCCGCCTGCGCAAACAGCTCGTCCTCGAGTGGAAGTCGGGAAGTGGTCGCGAACTCGTCGAGGGTTTCCCACGTAGCGCGTTTTCTTGGGAGGCCGTGTACATGGATCAACACCGCCACACACTGCGGCGCTGAAAGCGCACGGAGAGCCCATGGCCGGACGGAAGCAGAAGCGCCCGCCATCCATGGCCGGAGAGGGAGACCGGTCGGGTCGCTGGAGGGTCGCCATGGTGAGGCTTCGGAGAACAACGTGGAAGACGTCGTGGATGCGGGCGTTCTCAGCGGTGGAGGCGGTGACGCGACACGGCCAATGCGTTCAAAGACTGGAACGGACCAGATAACGAGGACCCAACTTGCGCTTAGCCGCATGGTCGAGGGATCATGGCGGTGCGGTGGAGGAGGCGCAACCACACCCATTGCCCACTGGAACTCCACATCGCGGTGGCGGGCGTCGTAGTACTTCTTGGACAGCTGCTGCTGCGCTTTGTAGGGAGTCGTTGGCGCACCTCGCGCAGCAGACTCATCGCGGTCGCGGAGAAGGCTATCGACGGCGTCGGTCCTCGCCGACCCCGCTGTATGGCGAGAATAGGCGGAGGAGGCGGCCGTACACCACCTCAAAGGGAGTCATCCGAAGGGTCGTGTGGAAGGAAGTATTGTAGCAATACTCCGCCCACGGCTGACAGCCCACCCACGCGCCTTGGCGGTCACCTGTAATACAACGGAGATACATGGCAATCACCTTGTTGACCACCTCCGACCGGGCCGTCGGCTCGAGGATGGCGGTGCTTGGCGCGAAGCTTGACGCCCGCCATCCGGAAGAGATCTGCCGGACATGGCGGTGAACACGGGGTCCCGATCACGACGATCGACGAAGGGAATCCGTGGAGCCGGACGACGTTGTCGAAGAAGAAGGCGCGGCGACGGAGGTTGCCGTGTAGGGGTGCCCAAGCGCAATAAAATGCGCAGCATTTTAGAGAAAGCGGTAGACAGCGGTGAGGATGACGGATTTCCGCCAACCTTGGGCAGCCCTTCAATGAAATTCATGGAGATGTCGGCCCAGACTTGGTGAGCACCTCCGGTAGCTAGAGCAACCGGCCATTTGGAATGCCTCCGTCTTGTTGCGCCTGCACGTCGCGCGTAAGCGCGCCTCCGATCTGGACTAGGAGCGATCCACAGGATGTAGAAGTCGGCGCTGGAGGCGGTGGAGAGTCTTCAGACACCCTCATGTCCACCGCATGGGCAATACCGCAGACTTGGTGGCGCGAGTCACACCGGCACGTCGAGATACGAAATCGCCATGCCATCGGCAACAACCAGCGTCCACCGCGCCATATGGCGCTTAAGTCGCCCGCGTCTGAGCGATAATTCTTAGGCCGCGATCCGGCGTTATCAGAAGGCCGCGAACCGCATCCAGAAGGCGAAGGGCGGCCGAGAGATGGCCCTGGCGCGCGCCGTACTGTTGCGGCGTCCACGACCTCGGCGTCCGCACGCAGGACGATCGCGTCGACCACGGTGTTGAGGCGTCCGAACGATATTCCATCGCGAAGTCGAAGCCGAAAAGCTTGCCGAGCCAGCGATCTTTGAGGAACTGTGGACAAGCGTTGGTCAAGCAAAAATTTAAGATCGTAATGATCAAGACGGACCAAAAGTGACGCCCCACAAATACGGCCGCTAATGACGAACGGCTTGCACCGGCCCGATGAGTTCGCGCTCATAAGCCGCAAGCTTGAGATGGCGGACAACGAAAGGCCGGCTGCGATGGCGAGGGTCCGGTATACAGTGAAGGACGGCACCAAACCCCGCACACCGACGCGTCACAATCCACGACGAAGAACTGTTGAAGTCCGCATCCTGCAGGATCGGCCCGTAGTGAGGGCGGCCTTGAGCGCCTCAAACGCCGTGGTCGCGTCGTCGTCCCAAGCAAACGCGTCTCGCCGCAAGAGGCGTGTCGTGGGCAACAATGATGCCGAAATCCTTAATGAACTTCAGAGTAACTGCGAGGCCTAGGAAGCCTCGGAGACCGCGCAGGCGGAGCATGGGGTCGGCCACGCATGAACCGGCCGCGACCTTGTCGCGTCCATGGCCACTTCGTCCTTGGAGATAACATGGCCTAAATAAGCCGCAGACGCGTGCACCGAAGGAGCACTTGGAGCGCTTGAGGTGGAGGTTGTGCGCTCGCGGGCGTGGAGGACGATGTTGACATGTTGCGGTGTTCGGCCCGGGAGGGCTGTGAGATCGAGGATGTCATCAAAAATACTAGCACGCACTGCGCGCAAATCGACCCGAGAGGACATCGTTCATCAACGCTGAAAAGGTAGCCGGAGCGTTGGAGAGACCGAACAGCATCACCAACTCGTAGTGGCCATGGTGCGTCGCGAACGCCGTTTAGCGACGTCGTCGGGGTGCATGCGCTTTTGGTGATAACCAGCGCAAATCCAAATTTTTGGTGAAGAAACGCGCACCATGGAGCTCATCAGCGGTACTCGTCCTGCTGGAATCGGAAACTTGTCCTTGGCGGTCTTGGCGTTGAGGGCACGATAGTCAATGCGAAGCGCCGAGGACTTGTCTTGTTTCCGCACCAAGAGAACGAAGCGCGGAGAAACGGCGAGGTGCTCGGTCGAATGATGCCTTGTGCGAGCATCTCCAAGACTGCGACGTTCCGGCTCGTCCTTCGGAGCTGGGGGTAGCAGAGGCGCATCGCCACCGCCGCAGATACTGGCGGCGCAGTGAATGCGGTGGTCGTAGGAGGCTGGCCAGGGGAGCCCACGGGGCTCTCGTCGAAGATGGCGCCGTCTTCTTGAAGGAGGTCATCCGCGAGGGGCGTGGCGGGGTCGGCGGTGACCACGGCCGTGGCCGAAGCGCCGCTTGGTCGATAAGCGTTCTTAAAGCCACCCACGCCTTGCCAAGTGTGCGCCGACCGTCGCGCCGTAACGCCATGGTGAGGGGCGGTGCGATCCACAAGATGGGTCCCGGCGTCCGGAAGGAAGCCGAAACCGAGAATGAAGTCGAACCCGCCGAGGTCCGGACCAACGCACGTAATGATGAAGTCCTCGTCGGCCGATGCGGATGGGGATGGCGCGAGCGATCCCCGAGCAGGCTAGGCGGTCACCATTAGCGACCGTGACGCAAAGATCCTCGCTACCGGATGGAGAGAGCCCCAGACGGCGCATGGCAGCACCCTGGAGGAAGTTGTGCGTGGACCCGGTGTCGAGGAGGGCGAGGAAGCTCTCCTTGATGGTGACCGGCACGAGCATGGAGTTTGCTTACCGATCCCTCGCAGCAACATGAAGAGACGACGAAAGCATTAGCCCCGGCCGAGCTCCGGGGCCGCCGGTTCCTCCAAGTGGACGGCAGCCACAGAGCGTCATCAGCCGCGATGTCGTCGATGAAGTCGTCGCACTCCACGTAGAACAGGCGCTCGCAGACGTGGCCGCGGACATAAGGCTCGTCACAATTAAAACAGAGCCCTTGTCGGCGGCGCTCAGCCATCTCCGCCGGGGTGAGGTGGCGCGGAAGCGACGACGCCTAGAAGAAAGCGCGTTGGCATTCTTTGGCCGATCACGAGGCGGCGCCCCGGACTCGGAGCGCGCCCGGCGAGGGGAGGGCGGTAGCCCCCAGTGTTGAGGAGGACGGTTGCCTCACCGAAAGCGGCGCCTGAACGCCCACGCCTTCGAACGCCCGAGCCAAGTACATGGCGGTTTGTAGGTCCCATGGCGCGGCGCATCTCCACATGCACTTTGATGCGGTTCGGTAGCCCCCCCCGCGTACAACTCCGCCTTTTGTCGAGGGAGAGGTCACGGGCATGGCACAGGCGGCGTTGTAGCACTCGGAGTAGTCTTGCGGTGGAGAGGGCGGCGAGCGTGCCAACTCTGGCCAAGCGAGTGCCCTGTGATGGCCGGCCCAAAGCGGAGGGAGCAGAGTTCCTAAGCGCCAAAGTCGCGGCATGCCCTCGTCTTGTTCGAGCGTATGTAGTACCATGTCGTGCGGCGCCCTTCATGTGATAGGGACGCTTGAGCAGGCGGCTGCGAAGCCATCGTCATTGTCCTCGGAAGAATTGCTCACATTGGTTCAACCAATTGAGCGGGTCGACGAGCCGTCATACGTGGGGAACTCGAGTTTGTAGAACTTAGGAGCGACTGGCGCCAAGATTGCGGATTGATCCATTGCTTGTGGGTGCCGGGGAGGAGGCGTCGACCCCGGAGAGGACTGCTGCAGATCACTGATGATAATGTGGTATGGTGTTGCTTGGGTGATGGTAGTGGCGAAGAAGAGAAGGAGCGGCCGAGCCCATCGCCCATGATGGAATCGGGGGGGCGAGGCCGGCCAGTGAAGAAGATTGAGCGGCACCCTCGGGCTCGAGACCCAAGCATCCCGTAAGGGAAACTCGAGGGTGAAGCGTGGCTAGGAGCTCATAGCGGTAACCCCCGTGGACAGCGGCGGCGTCGAGAACGGCGGTGGGGGGGTCATTGGTGTCGTCGGGGTGAGTATTGCTACAATACTTCCTTCCACACGGCGAGGACCGACGCCGTCGATAGCCTTCTCTCGCGACCGCTGATGAGTCTGCTTGCGCAGGTGCGCCAACGACTCCTACAGCGCAAAGTTGTGCCCAAGAAGTACTACGAGGCCGTTCGACGGGGCGAGGTCGTGCCCCCCCTTGCCGAGGTCCATCGCCGTCAAGGCCGCCTCATGCATCTCCCGGCGCATCTCCTGCAGTCGGCGCCGCGCTAGGAGGCCGCGTGCTACAGCCTGTAATCGCACCATCGCAGACTGACAATCACTCTTCTGCGCAAGCGCCACTTGCAGTTGATTCTTTTGCAAGATGGCGAGCGTCGATCGCCTTTTTGTGCACTGTGAATGGAGGCACGCACGACGCCGAGGACGAGGCGAGGCCGCCACCGGCTACGCCATGGATGAGGGCACCGTCGTGGCGTGGAGATGGGCACGGCGGCGTAGAGATCCGGCGCCGCCCCGTGGTGGATGGCCGGCGGCGAGAACGGCGGGGGAGGGTTCTTTGGACGAAGTCCCGCCAAGCCGCGCTGCATGGATGCGATGTTGCGGTTGATGTCGATGATCGCGGCCGCCAAGGACTCGAGCGTGAGTGGTGCAAACAGACATCGCCGAGCCTTCCGAGACCTCTGGGAGGCCGCAGATTGGAGCGACGCGGTGGAGGTAGATGGTGGTGGTGGGAAGGACACGGCGGCGTAGGATCCAGCCATGGTCTCTGATACCAGATGTTATGTGGCCAGTTGGGATAGAGATGAGAGGTGTGCTACAGTACCGTGGAGCTACAGTGTCCGCGAGTACTGTTCACAGCGGCGGCGGCTAGGGCTGCAAGGGCGCTGGGGGAGGCCGGCCGTGGGGCTTCGCCCACGGCCGGCAAGAGAGAAGGGATTTCCTTCTAATCTCTTGCTTGATTAGATTGATACATCTCCTCTCATTATATAGAGAGGTCTGACTTGGCCTCTAAGCAAGCGACTAATTAACTCTAATGGGCTAAGGCCCAATAGGCCCTTGACTCCTCTAACAATAGGGGTATTATGAAATGAGTCAATTCTCATCCTAAACCTCACGAGACACAGAAACAAACACCCAACATACTGCAAGATTGCTATAATCGCTAATTCTTAATTTTTCATCTTTTTTTCTAAAAGCAGAGTGAGGAATTTTCAAACAGGCAGCAGAAAATGTTGAAATGGAAGAAAACCTTGGGGCGCCCAATGGTAATTGCAACATCCTCGCCATCCCTAGGACTTGAAGGGGCCTGAATCTGCTCTCCTGTCATGCTGCTCAGGTTCAATCAGATGATGATGTCATGAAGTAGAATCAACAGTTCAAACGATCTTCAGGGTGCATATGCTAAACACTGGTAAAACTCAGCTTTATGACAAAAAAACAAACATAAAGTTTTAGTCGAGTTAACAACAGTAAGAACATAGAATGATTGACCCTACCTCTTAAGGCCCAATATATTTACAAGAGAATCAAAACCAAAGAGCTCTAGCTTTGAATCCCCTTGAGATCCACTGGATGTACCATGATCATCAGGAGAACCTTCCCGCATACTTGGATTAATAGTTAGATTAGCATCAGGCTTCAGGTTCCTATATCAAACATAAAAGAGTGAGTCCATACACCTAGCACCTTGACAATCTGTTTTCTACTAAATTCTCTTGTATCTATGATTTTCAAAAGAAAAGGACAAAAAAGAAATAAGAAATAAGAAAAAGAAAAGATCATGACCAGCAATAACCATTTCTTCAAAGTTGTTCAAAGAGGGTATATATGCCATGTGGCAAGCCATACCATGCACAAGAAGTAAAATCAATACAAGGACAAAACAGTATTCCCTTTCAAGTATTACAAACTAACATCGGACAGTCTAACCACAAAACTCAAATCTACACCAACAAGCCTATAGTTGCTTGACATAAGGCATGATTTAACTTATGGTTAGAAGTTGAAAAAAATATTAGGACAGAAGAAATGGCTAGAATTCAAACTACCACTAATGATCAAAGCATTGTACCAATCAGAAGCGAGCATCATTATGGTGCGCAACTGACTATTTTCAAAGAAATCAGTAGCGGTTTCAATATTTATTGAATTCAATAACAATTTCAGCATCAATCAAGCATCCAAGCTTCTCGAAAAGAAAGAGGCATCCATATTATCACTACTGATTTCAACAATGGTGGCATTGCAGTTGCAGGCGCTCCCATAAAACAGATGTGACAGACATGGTCTCATAGACTTGCTCCTGATGACCACAGTTTTAGATAGGAAGAAGCAACCCAAGGCCCAAAATAGTAGTTTCAGTGTTTCCTAGCATCCCATGGAAGTCAACCTAAAATCTTAACTTCTGATACTTCCAATAGATTGAGTGTGCTCAAAAGTCCACAGCTACTCTGCAATTGCTCCCTTCAACACCCCATGTGCTAAACAATGCATGTCCAAAACAATACACACACTAGTGATCCACGCAGAAGTAACCTCTGAATTCAGTACATATGCGATCTGCTAGCACGTGACATAACAAATTGCTCGCGAAACCTGCAAATGTGAATAAAGTCCGCATCACCTTGGCGGCTGGGGCGTCACGACGGCATCGATGGTGGCAGAGGAGGATCCCGGCTCCATGGAAGTCATCTGGATCACGGCGCGGTCGCTCGACCCGACCGGCCGGTACCGCCGCCCATTGGGCGGCGCGGGCACCGGCAGTGCATCGTCGGCCTCCTCGATTCCACCGTTCTCCATCCCTCGGGGACGCTGTGGAACACGCCGAAACTGATCCCGGTGAGATCCAGAGTTCAGAGGCGCACACGCCGACTAAACCCGCACAGCCGGCATCGGATCCAGATCCGCAGCGGCGCGTGCTAGCGGGAGGAGCAGCGCCGGAAGCAGGAGTTGGGGGCAGGGAGAGGTCTCCGGATGCTCCGCTTACCTAGAGGAGGAGGAGGAGTTCGGAGGCGATAGAGGTATCGGTGGCGGAGGAGGAGGAGGAGGAGGAGGAGGAGACGCCGGCGGCGACGGTGGCGACGGCTGCGGAAGGTGGGCAACGGTCAGAGGGAGTAAAGATATGAAACTCGCTTTTTTTACTTCTTCTCTGTTTTTTGCGCACTAGTCCCCTCCGAATGGAGAATTGCCGGTTTTAGCCTAACTGTTTGCTTCCCCTCGAGGTTTGCGTGTTTTGACCTTCTAGAAATATTTGTTGCTGATTGTAGAATTTCTACAGCATTTCAGAAATAATAAAGAAAAGTTGTTCATGCTCACGTTAATGTGAAAAACTAATCTCCAGCGAGAGTTATTTGGCCCAATATTGCCCGTTCAAATGATTGTAGATGCCCTTTTAAATTCCTCCAAATTTTACCCAAAAATCAAAAGAACATACGTAGCAGCAGCAAATGTTTAAACACACAACTTGAATGATGAGTGACATCTTAGATTCTCCGTTTTTGAATTTAACACAAAATAATCTCCATTTTTCAATCAACATATTTACTTCAATTAACATAACATATTCATGTTTTTAAATTCATATTTTGGATGTCAGTTTGTGAGCGCTATGTTACACATGAGGATTTTTTTTCTATTTTTAACACTTTTTTAAACTAATTTTAAATCTAATACATTATTTTTTTTCAAAACTAACACTTTTGGCCGCGCCTATTGCCATGGCGCGGTGAAACGCATGTGCCGCGTCATGCATGGTAGCGCGGCGGGAGGATGACGTGGCGACGACCGGGGCTGCTGACCGGTGACGTGGCAGGGTCTACTGCGCCACCGATCTTGGCGCGGCAGTGACGCGCCCTGATCGTTGGCGCGGCAGAGCCGGATAAAAGACCCGTGGCCCAGTCTCGCCTGCCTGCCACGCCCGCCGCGCATTCGCTCTGTCTGCCCGCCGCGTCCACCCGCCTGGCCGCCGCGTCGCGCCCTCCCGCCACTCCCAAGTGCTGTCGGCGCCCGGCCCTCCGTTGCCGCCTCCCTCTCTCCATTCCCTTCCATTCCCCGGCCGCCTCCCTCCCTCCTCGGCCTCATTCAAGGTAATGACGCACTTTTTATTTTCGTTTGAATGGTGGATTGGAATATTATGAATAGAAGTTAAGGTTAGGAAAAAAAATATGTTTGGAAACTATGGGCTATAGTTTGGAGGAAGATATTAGTTTGATTTTATCAATGTTAAGATTAATTATTTAGTTAGAACTATGTTTACCATATATATTTTTGTTGCTATAAGTGTTGGTTATATTATTTGAGTTGCAATGCAAATGATTATATTTTATATTAATTTGCGTTGTTTCGATTGATGTTTAATTTGAACCATTTTATTAGATAGAAGACCTGTTTCGGGAGCAGTTGTGGCGAAAACGGGATCGTCCTAGAGAATTGTACCCCGACGAGTCTAGCAAAAATGCACCCGTCCCTCCTGACCTCTGAAAGTTTTAGTTTGGTTTTGGTGAATTGATAAAACCCTAAGTGCTAACCTAGTTTATAAAGTGATTATGATATAGGTAGCACTACTTCAAGTGGTGAAGCAAATGAAGATCATGACATGACGATAGTGTTGCATGGTGATGATCAAGTGCTTAGACTTGGAAAAGAAGAAAGAGAAATAAAAGGTTCAAGGCAAAGGTATAAATGGTAGGAGCTATTTTGTTTCGGTGATCAAGACACTTAGCGAGTGTGATCACATTTAAGATTGATAGCCGTATTATTAAGAGGGGTGAAACTTATATCGAAATGCTGTTATCAAAGTGCTACTAGATGCTCTAACTCATTACATATGCATTTAGAATCTAGTGGAGTGCTAACACCCTTGAAAACGTTTGTGAAAAATATGCTAACACATATGCGCAAGATGATATACTTGGTGGTTGGCACATTTGAGCAAGGGTAAGAAACTTCACCGGTGGAGTGTCCGCCCGTAGAGTGCAGACGGGTCAAGCGATGCCACCAGCATACTGCATACAAAAAGATAGGATTTCCAGAGTACACCGGCATGGGCCTCAATTGGACCGAAGACGTCCGGTCGATTGGAAGCGATGAAACGCGCCGGCGTTGGTCTTCGACCGGACGCTGGGTCACTTCATGTCCGGACGCTGACAGGGTGTGTCCGGTCCCGCTGACATGGTGGCGCACAGAGGAGACGTTGAGTAACCGGACGCTGGGTGAGTCCGGTCAGGCATGACCGGAAGCGTCCGGTCGTGAGTTTTCGAATGGAACCTTACTAGAAATGACCGGATGCTGGGGTCCTGCGTCCGGTCACTACTTAAATGTACTGATGACCATTGAGATCGGACGATCAGCATTTGAAGCCGATGACATGTGGCAAGCATCGGGCGACCGGATGCTAGGGTCCTACATCCGGTCGATCTGACTGGAGCATCCGGTCACCCCGAGTTGTGCCTAGTAAAGGAGTACAACGGCTCTATTCCGTGGGGGCTTCTATTTAAGCCTCATGGTCGATTCTAGCTCACCCTCTTGACCATTTTGCATTGACATAGCAACTTTGTGAGCTTAGCCAAAGCCTTCCCACTCATCTCCATCATAGATTCAACATCTTTGTGAGATTGGGAGGGAATCCAAGTGCATTGCTTGAGTGTTTGAATCTAGAGGCACTTGGTGTTCATGTTTCGCTATAGGATTTGCTTGTTACTCTTGGTGGTTGTCGTCACCTAGACGGTTTGGAGCAGCGAGGATCGTCGAGCGGAGGTTGGTGATTATCTCCGGCTCCAATTGTGATGATTGTGAGGGGTTCTTGCCCTTTCCCCGGTGGAAAGCCAAAAGGTACTCTAGTGAATTGCTCGTGGCTTATATGATCCTCATTTTGTGTTGGTTGTGCGGTACCCTATTGAGGGTTTGGCGTGTGATGCCAATTAACGCGTGAACCTCCAAGTGAGTGAATCGTCACAACGAGACTAGCTTGCCGGCAAGCAAGTGAACCTCGGTAAAAAATTATTGTATCATCATTTGATTCCGAGGTGATTGGTCTTCATTGGTGTAGCTAGTTATGAGAGCTTGTGATTGATTGACTCCTTCCTCAATACGGCGGTATAACTATCTTGCTCTCTCTCTTTATATTATCGCAAACTAGTCATCAAGCTCTTTAGTGTAGCTAGTTGTGAGAGCTTGTTAGTTTGGTTAGTGTGACTCTTTAGTTAGTCTTTGAGAGCACACTAACTTAGTGTAGTGATATAACCATTGTGTGGATAGAAACTAGAATTGTGGTAGGTGACTTGCATTTTTAGTAGGCTAGCGCAATACTTGCTTCGCCTCATAATTGTCTAACCGGTTTGTTAAGTGTTGTTGTAGAAATTTTTAATAGGCTATTCACCCCCCCTCTAACCATTAGGACCTTTCAACCTCCCTGTCTCTAACTATGACTGTGGTTGTCCGACCGACGTGTTTCAATCGAGACATCCGGACACAACAGCTCGTTGCTTCTACATATGCAGTCGTTTTAATGTAAGTAATTGTTTCCGTATATTTTTTTTCTTCATTTGTATTACTAGGTTACTAATATTTTATTGGAATTTTGTTGTGTAGGCCCATGAGAGGTGCTTTTTCTTTTAGTGGATCGACGGTGCAGACAAGTTTGACCCTAGGTACCTCCTTTTCGACGATTGGTGGAGAGGGCAACATCCACGAGAGCACTTCGAGCGGTGGGTTCCACCTCCCCCTAACTCCCCTCTAATGACGGCTAAGGAGAAGCACTTAGTCAGAGTTAGACGACTTGAGAAACCTCCTCTGTGCGATTGCGGAGATCGAGCTATGATAAACCCTAAGAATACGTTAGAGTTTATGTGTCGAAACAAGCATGAAGTAAGTGCAAAGTGTATGTGTTGAAATGTTGAACTATGTGTGTTCATGTACTAATGTCACCTTATTTAGGTGTTTTCAATAGCGAAGTGTCGTTTCAAGGAGTGGTTGTATGGTCCTAAGAACCAATGGCCGAAAGAACCGCCAAAGGCAAAGCAAAAGAAGAAAGAAAGGTTAATTTACAAAGCACCTTCAGTCAAGTGCGAATGTGGTGTTAAATCCAACTACGGTCTAGTCCCTTCAGAGCTTGGAATAGGCCATTATTGTGGCCATATGGTTGACTATGATGAGATTGGTTAATTTTATGGTAAACATGAAATCGTATTTTGTTTCTTTTGTTAAGACATATATGATATAATTTTTCGTTTGAACAGAGCACTAGAAAATGCAGGTGAGAATGTTATGATGGTCAAGCTAAGTTCTTGGATGAACTAAAGGGAAAGCAAGTAATTACACGGAAGAGGGGATATGGACCTGACTATGTCAACCTATTCGTTAAACATCACAAAGACAAGATGCATGAGTTTGCTTGACAGCGCGCTATTTATAACCCGATCGATGTTGGGCTTGACAAATGGGGATTGGAGAGACGGTTGACGTTAGAGAAGGAGAGGGCAAGGAAGGAGGTAAGGAAGGAGATAAGAATACAGATGCAGGTCTTGAACGAGCATGTTGTTGTATTATGTGCCAGTGAGTGCTTGAAAGCCTTTTTTCATTGCCTGATTGCATTTTATACATGATTGCATTTTAATCGCGTTGCTAACTGATTACATTTTATACATGAAGGGATTGGATACAGCGAGGACCATGATGGAGAGGTGGCTCATGCAAGGTATGAGAAAAGGAAGTTACATGAGCACAGAACGTGAGCTGGTCGCACCGTTCAATCACCGATTATGTTGTCTAATGAGGAGGATGAGGATGAGTACGACACTGCC